CCCGACCCGAACCCGCACCCGACCTGACTCAAACCCGAATATTTTATAACATAAAAGCTTATCTATGGATATAATGAGCACTCCGTATAATCTCTTGACAAAGTGCTACTATATCAAGTATGCCTTTTATAATCATTTTTATAATTTCTTAATAAAAAAATGAGACACAAAAAAAATTAGATGTAATTTTTTAAAATTATTAGGGTACGCCAAATTGATTATTAGTTAAAAGTCGGGTTCGGGTCGGGTTCGGGTTTCTAGTTGGAATGTCGGGTTCGGGTCGGGTTCGGGTTTTGGCTTAAAAAGTCGGGTTTCGGGTCGGGTTCGGATTTCAATTTTTAAAGTCGGGTCGGGTTTGGGTATAGTACTATCCGACCCGAACCCGACCCGTTGCCATCCCTAATGGTGACACCTCATTGAGATGCCTTAGACGAATCCTACTCATATACAGATACAATGTTTATTATTGTTTTTAATTTTAAAGTTTTATATTATATATAGTTTAATCCTCCCACCCAGCCCTCCTCTTTTCAATGTTTAATCCTAAAATCTCTATAGTTTCTAAAGGCTCCACATACACCCCCTCCACCGATTTTTTTTGTAAAGCTTGTGGACGCTTTGTTTGTGCATTGGAGATTTGATGGGGGGGTCTATTTTTTATGACAAAAATGTTCTTCAAACAAGGAAACAATGAAAAGAAAAAATAGACAAAAAGAAGAAAAAAAACTACTTCAAAAAAATCATTGATATTACGTTTACTAGTATCACACCCGTGCGTTGCACGGGTCATTTTTATGTTATTAAATTCAAATCATTTTTCAATGATAAAAATGAGATGCAATAAAATATAGAGATTATATTATTTTAAGGTAAAAAACATCACTATTTTACAAATTTCGAAAGACATCTTTATAGACTACATTATTGTACAATTTGTGGGAATATTTATAGTGTATTTAATTGTAATAAGCTATAGGCTATTATAATTATAATTATAATAAGAAGGGTTAACTTTTTCGAAATTGGGTGTATAATTATTCTTACCATAATTATTTTTTCGAAATTGGGTGTATAATTGTATAACTTACCTTTTTTTAATTATTTCCAATTTTCAAACACTTACTCTTTGCATTTGTATAACTTACCTATATTTAAAACTTACGTCTCGGATTTGTATAACTTACCTTTTTTAATACGGTAATTATTATAAATATAATAATTATATTAACTTACGATGGCTTACCATTTTATATTACTCACGTTAATTATTATAAAAATAATTATAATAACTTCCGATGGTTAAAAATGATAGTTACTTATTCTTACAATAATTTCAGACGTTTCCAATCAGTAGTCCAAATAATATTGGTTAATTATTAACATATAATACATTGATTCCAATTTTATTAGAAACTTACGCTGTGCGATTTTATAACTTACCTTTTTTAATTATTTCCAATTTTCAATACGTTAATTATTATATATAATAATTATATTAACGTCACGCTTACCATTTTATATTACTCACGTTAACTATTATAAAAATATTAGCTATATTAACTTCACACTTACAATACGTTAATTAATTATTATAAAAATAATAGCTATTATTATATTTATACCTTTTTCAATAATTATAAATCCACAATTTCGGCCAATTACCATTTTAACATCACAATTATTTACTTACTTTTTGGCCATTTTATAATTATTATAAATATAATAATTATAATAATTACTACTACAATTTCGGTCACTACAATTATTAACTTACCTTTTTTAATTAGTTCTAATTTTAATTATTATATTTTTACTTCTTTTTTTTAATAATTATAGCTTCAGAATTTCGGCCACTTACCATTTTAACTTTATAATTATTAACTTACCTTTTCCCCATTTTATAATTAGTATAAATATAATATTATAATAATTATTTCTACAATTTCGACCACTACAATTATTAACTTAACTTTTTTAATTATTTCCAATTTTCAATATGTTAATTATTATATTTATACCTTTTTTAATAATTAGAACTTCACAATTTCGGCCACTTACCATTTTAACTTTGCAATTATTAACTTACCTTTTGACCATTTTGTAATTATTATAAATATAATAATTATAATAATTATTACAGTAATTTCGGCCACTGCAATTATTAACTTACCTTTCGGCCATTTTAACTTACCTTTCTTTAATTATTATAAATATAATAATTATAATAATTATTAATATAATTTCGTCCACATACCATTTTAACTTCACAATTGCCATTTATAATTGTCATGCTTTTTGGGCGGGAAAATCATATGTTGACTCCATGCCTTTTTTAAATAAAGTATGGATGATAATTATAATTACATACAATTTGGTATATTTTCAATGATTTACTCTTATTTTAGTCATTTTTTTAAAGTTACAAAAGTTAAATTATTTACAATATTTGAAAGAATACTTTATAATTCACATTACTCGTATAAATTTGTGAAAATATTGTCTTCGTTGCATATTAGAATCTTCAAATAATTATGATTTGTTACTCTTGAAGCTACAACATACATTTGTCCATGACTAAAATATAAATAACATTAATCAAAACTCCGGTTAAAAAATTTGTTCAGAGTTAATTCTGTTGTTTTTTTTTTCATTTTGTCAAATTGCTAATAAAGTGGAAATCTATATACTCCATAAAAATAAAGGAGCATTTATAAAAAGAAACTAAAATTTTTTGCAGTTATTCATTTTTACGGAAATCAATACTTGTAATGACTTTGTTTAATGTCTTTTTTGTTGGCATTTTACTCCTTTTTATTGACAATGAAAACAGTATTTTTTTATTCAGTAAAATAAACAATTATCTTACACTCGTTAGACCTTTAAATAATTGTGTAATCGAGACTTGTTTTAAAATATAAAAAAAACTCGTTAGACAATTAAATGTATGTGTCCAATTTTTTTTAATGCTAGGTTTCATCATTTGTATCACCGGAATTTGAGGCGGTGATACCACTTTGTTGAGACCATCGATCACCAGATAAACATTATCTGTCCACAATGTACAATGTATCCAATTTCCCCTAAATATTAAAAAATAAAAACAAAACATTCGTGATTCTCAATGTAGAATTATTCATGCATCATATTCATAATTTATGATTCTATTTAAATACATTATAAAGAGATTTTTATTCGGGTAATTATTTTTTTCATTTAACGATAAAAGTGAACTTTTATAGATATCTTCCATTTTTTGTTATTTTATTCATTTTTTTCATATTATCAACAATAGTTAATGTTTTGGAAATTTTATTCCAAGTATATTTCATTACCCATGGAATAAAATAAAAAATCCAAGTGTACATTACTATTTTTACACTTAGATCAAAATGGTAATAAGTATTAATTTTAAACTTCGAAAAAAATGGTAATAACTATTTTAATCAAAGTTTTTAAATAAATCGAAATTTTAAACTTAAAAATGGTAATAAGTTTTAAATAAATATGGAAACTTTTTTAATGCTCATACGAAAACAGTAATTTTTTAATAAAAATAGAAACATATTCCCCTTTACCATATAATTTTTAATTAATAGAAACCAAAATTACCATAACAACACTTACCCTTAAATGGCGTAGCATTTAAATAAAAACAAAAACATATTCACCTTTTCGAATTACTGTTTCCGATGTTATTAAAAATAAAACATATTAATGTATTTAAATAAAATTAAAAACATTTTTAATGCTCACACAAAAACATAATTTTTTAATAAAAATAGAAACATATTCCCACTTATCACTTACCATTAATTGGCATAGCATTTAAATAAAAATTGAAACTTATTTCCCTTTCCACCTTACTGTTTCGTTGTTTAAACTCTTACCGCTCTTAGTTTCAACATCAATAGTCCTGACCTCTCATCAACATTTTTTAAAGCGCTTTGCAATCTTATAACTTACCTTTTTTTAATTATTTCCAATTTTCAATACGTTAATTATTATAAATATAATAACTATAACTTTACAATTTTGGCCACTTACCATTATAAATTCACAAATATTAACTTACCTTTCGGCCATTTTAACTTACGTTTATATACGGAGTAATTATTATAAATATAATAATTATAATAATTATTACTATAATTTTGGTAACTTACCATTTTAACTTCACAATTGCCATTTGTAATTATATTACTCACTTTAATTGTTATAAAAATAATAGCTATATTAACTTCACACTTACACAAAAAGAAGGTTAAAAATGACAGTTACTTATTCTTAGTATATAATACGTTGATTCCATTTTATTAAAAACTTAAGCTTTGCAATTTTATAACTTACTTTTCTTAATTATTTCCAATTTTTTATACGTTAATTATTATAAATATAATAATTACAACTTTACAATTTCGGCCACTTACTATTATAAATTCACAATAGTTAACTTACCTTTCCGCAATTTTAACTTACCTTTCTTTAATTATTATGATTAATACCGTGTGATAAAAAAGGAATTGTATTTATAGTTTTTGTAACTTCAAATAATTCCATTTCAGACTCGATTTTTTTGTAAAGCTTGTGGACGCTTTGTTTGTGCATTGGAAATTTGATGGGGGGGTCTATTTTTTATGACAAAAATGTTCTTCAAACAAGGAAACAATGAAAAGAAAAAATAGACAAAAAGAAGAAGAAAAACTACTTCAAAAAAATCATTGATATTACGTTTATATCAAAATAGAACCTATTAATATTACATATCGAAGTCAAAGTTTACAATTTTTGATCAAAAAAAAATAAAATGAGACAGATTAAATATGGACAGAGGGAAATTTTTTTGATTTAGCCTATACTTACAAAAGTCAAAGCTTGCAACCTTCCACTCCCAAAATGGTGAAAGAAAACAAAAGAGTGTAAATTTGTGACAGAGGGAAACTTTGTGAAAGAAAAAATTTGACATCAAATTAGTCCATGGCAGTGAATCAAATGGACTAAACACAAAATGAGTACCAAAAAAAAGGCCGAAACTATTTGACATCAAAAACTATTGCTTCTGTCATTGGCAGCACCATTTTTCTTCCTTGTTTCCTTCAACTCCCTCACTCTTGTTTTTTGGCAAGGATAACTTCATATTATACACCTTTGATCATCATCGGTGTCGTCAAATTCACCCTCCTCAGTCCTCATCGAACAATTCCAAGCCCTCAAAAAGAAAACCAGGAACACAAACAGCATCCTCTGCCTCGACAGATTCATTATTGTTCTCATCCCGTGTTTCACTATTTTCATAACCTTCCTCAATGTCAATTCTAGAAAGAACGGCGTGTAACTTCTAGAGCAAGTTCAAAGCCAGCTTCTACATTCATAACTAAGCAAATTTTTAGAAACAATGAGAAACAAAAAGTATATAATTAAAAGAAAAAGAAAACATCTGAACTACATGCTAAGATTATATTCAAATTTGTATATGTTCAACAATGGAAGCAACACATTATTTTGTTTTCCCATTGTCAATCGCAGGGCTTGGTCTTTGTTTACGGTTTCTCAATCGTTTGCCAGCGATTGAAAGAAAATAGCTTGGGGAAGAGGGGGCATATGCCACGTTTAGAAGCCACAGATTTTAGGAGAGATTTTGATTCCTATTTTCCAAACCATAAGAGATTTAGTGCTATTAAGTCTAACTTTCTATTTCTACCCGTTTTCTTTAATGTTGCTCTACAACTATAAACAAGGCAAAATGATTGTACCAAAATAAGGCTAATTTGAACATAAGATTTTGGCACATTTGAGATAAAAGGCACTCCCCCCCTATCTTTAAGATATGAAGAAACAAAGATTAAAAATACATCATATGGTTCATTTTTATACTAATCTCATGAAAAATAAATATACATATAGCATAAAAATATAATAAAATATTCCATTAAACAAAAACTATTGGGAAAATACTTTGGAGTATAACAAATAACCAAATAGCAAAGACCCAAATTCAATTGGCAAAGGTTAAAAGTAAACTCGAAAACCTTCTATCAAAAGTTATAGATAATGCTGATACATGGAAAAACTCCCAACAAGATTTCAAAACAAGAACATAATAACAACAATCCTCAACAAGGAACCAATATCTTCATAACATAAAACTAGCAAAAACATCCCACAAGGAGGACCACCGCTTAACGGTTGGCCTTAGCAACTCTCTCAATCTCATCCTTCTTCTTGATCGCATAACTGCAAAAAAACAACCTTTAGTATGAAAAGGATCCTCACAAATAACATTCACGGAAACTCAATGTTAGACTACATTTACCTGTTAGAAGAGCCCTTGGCAGCATTGATGAGCTCATCAGCAAGGCACTCCGCAATTGTTTTAATGTTGCGGAAGGCACTTTGGCGAGCACCTGATGTGAGCAGATATATAGCCTGGTTGACACGGCGGAGAGGAGAAATATCAACAGCCTGGCGCCTTACAACACCAGCAGATCCAATACGGGTAGCATCTTCCCTTGGGCCACTGTTATAATCATAAAGGGTTAGTGAAATACAAAAACAAACTAACCCTACGTTTGGTTCAAAGAATTTGGAAAGAAAAGAAAAGAAAATGGTTCTCATTTTCCTCACCAAAATGGGAGGAATTTGGTTTTCCGTCTACTTGGTACATTTTGCCTTCTCATTTTCTTTTCCTTCCACTTTTCCTTTCTTTTCCCCTCTAACCAAACAAGTAAAACTATTTTCAACTTCATTTTCTTTTCTTTTTCCTTTCAAATTCCTTGAACCATAGCGTAAGTAATCCAAAAAAGAAATAAAGAGTTCCGAAAGTTGCCAACAATGAGAAGAGAGTAGAACACAAAAACAAAGATAACCCCCAAATAATGGAAAGATTTAAAAACTACTAATTTTCTTCATGTTCACTTGATAGAGCAGGGAAAAAGTACAGGATTGAAAAGAGAGTTCATGGATAATCTAAAGCACTCAAAACACACCAATTAACATAAAAAAACCCTTGATTTTGAAGAACTTTTTATTCCATTTGATCAATACAATCCTAAATTTTTTTACTTTAAACATTGCAAAACATTAAATTCCAATTATACATCAAAAATAAGGTTTTTTTACCTCACATTAAATTTTTACCTCATGATTGACACAATAAAAATGCTAACATCCCAAATGAACTGATATGATCCACATTTTGCAAATAACTCATACAATATAATCAGATTCAAATGAACACAACTTGTAAAAAAACAGAGAAACGTCACAGTAAACCATGGCAGGAAAGTAAAATATATTGTCCAAAAAAACCTGTTGATGACAGCATCCACAATGATTTGAATTGGGTTAGCATCAGTAAGCAAATGGATGATTTCCATCGCATGCTTGACAATGCGGACGGCCATTAGCTTCTTTCCATTGTTCCTTCCGTGCATCATCAAAGAGTTCACCAGCCTCTCCACAATAGGGCACTGTGCCTTCCTAAACCTCTTTGCTTGATACCTACCAGCAGTGTGTGGGGTATATGTGGGATGCTTGGAAGCAGTAGCAGTTATATAGTCTTCCACCGATATATCGCTAACCTGTATCGAACCATTCGTGGAACATACAGAAGAAGAGGCACTGACTAGAAGTATAAAATCACAACACATATGAATCTTTAAATCTTCAACAAAGTCAAATCATGTTGCGATCTTTTCGAGGCCAAATCAAAACAGCAAAGATCTGAAAGGCACGGAGAATCGCGATTTAACAAAATCATTTTTGCCAACCTTCAATGCAAGTATCGCCATATCAATTAGATCGGCGCCCTTGCTCTGCAAATTGGACTTTATTTCACGATTCCAGCCCATAAATTGCAACGTTTAATGCAAAATCTACTTCAAATTTTCATTCATTCCATTCGTAAACCTATGTACTGAATCTACACTAGCATTCCGATATAACACTGAAATTACGTACGATCTAGCTCGAATAAACAGATACTGTAGGCATAAAATCTCAAACGTAAACGATCGAAAGAAAAAAACAGGAAAAAATGAAGGATTTCGGATGAAAGACCTGAACATCATCGTAGGTCCAGCGATTGAACAGCAAGATGCCAGTTTGAGGGGTCTGTTCCTGAGGAATCTGAGCGGCGACTTCCATTACTTCTTCCATTTTTGCTCTTCCCCTCCAAACTCTCACTGCCTCTTTCGGTTCTGGCTCGCGAAGGATCGGCGAGAAGAGGAGAAGAATTTATTCAGGGTCTATGAAAGAAATTAGGGTTAGAGCGAGTTCAGGCCGGATTATATCTCGCCTTGTTGATCTTTACACAGTTACACGGCTTGGCCCTTCGGCACATTGGGCTTCCGGGCTTACGTTATTATCTTTCAAGTTTAGTAAGACTCCGTTCCGTTCAACTTATTTTTTCTTATTTTTTCTTATTCTTATTAAAATCAGACCAGATCAGATTAGATCGAATCAGATCAGATCAGATCAGATCCAATCAAATCAGATCAGATCCAATCAGATCAGATCTGATTATGACTTATTAAAATCAGATCCCATCAAGAATTATTATTATTATTATTATTATTATTATTATCATCATCATCATCATCATCATCATCATCATTATTATAATTATTATTATTATTATTATTATTATTATTATTATTATTATTATTATTGTTCTTAAAAATGAAAAAGAATAAACTTTAGAAATAGGTTAAATAGAAAACTGAGAAAGTAATCCTTAATTATTAGACGTCGTAAAAATTAGTTTTAAAATACATTGACAATGTCAATCCAATTCTACTTTTAAAATATATTTTTATTGCTACTTGTAATTCGAGTTTCTAAAGTTTTGATCTTTTATAAGGATGAGATATTTTAATAAAAATACTATCTCTTCTATATATGGATTATCTAAATTTAATTACTTTTTAATGTATATCTAAATTAAATATTTATTCTAATGTATATATGAAAATATTATTAAAATATTAAATTAATATTCTAATTTCACAAAAAAATAATCATAAAATAAAAAATATTATTACATTATAATATGAGTGATTATTCTAATATATGAATAAACTAATTTTATTTTATTAAGAAATAATCATTAAATAAAAAATATTGATTATATTATAATATGAATTATCATTACAATTTTCAAACGTTATTATAAAGTCAAATCAAATTATTGATTTGAAATTTTAAATTAAATCATAATTAATCAGATCAGATCAGACCAAATCAAATCAGATCAGATCCAATCAGATCTAATCAGATCAGATCAGATCCAGTCAGATCAGAACTTATTAAAATCGGATCAGATCAAAAAAAATAAGTTGAACGGAACGGAGACTAAGATATAATTAACCTACTATAAAAAAAATTAGAATTAACCTATTGGCATATACTAAAATAGTAAAATTGGTTATCCCATTTGTACACCTAATTTTCACCGACACTCAATATCTCTGGATGTACAAACATGGAGTGCCTGTGTTTGTTTGTAAATACTTGGTATAAAAATAGGGCACGAAGTATTAAATCAAATTTTAATTTGATATTGTATTTTCAATTTATACTTGATATAATGTGACTGAAATAAAAGAATGTGTAAGAGTAATTGAAAAATACAGATGCCGTTTATTTTATTCTCCTAATAATCATGACAAGTGCATTGTAAGGATTTTCTGAGAGATAAAGAGGTAATTTCGAAAAGTAAGAGCTTAAAACATATACATGGATAGAGTATTTACCAATACTAAAAAATTTTCAAGTTTGACTTTTTAATGTCGGTCTAGTTAAGTATCTGATTTAAATTTTTGTTTGAAATTTTCTAGTCAGAATGATAAATATTGTACTTTTATTACTTAAATTACTTTTAACAAAGAGCATTGTATGTTTTTTATTACTACAATAACCCACTTAGTCAAAGTTTAACATCACGGTTTTAAAAAGTCAAAACGAAAGAATTTCAAGTAGATGGATGCCAAAAGTATGGCCAAAATACAAGCTCAAATTCCTATTATTGCTATTAACTTTATTATCATATTTTTTTTCAATCTATTGACATACAAAGAGGCAATGTTTCTGTCTCCATTATTGCTCAAACTTAGACGAATTTCTTCATGAATTCTGAGAAGTGGACTTCTTATTACCATTCAAGCTAGGGAAAAAGCTTAATAGGGGCCTTTAAAAAAAAACAAGCATTTTTCTTCTTTCTCAAATACCAACTATATATTTAAATGAAAAAATACCAAATCTATATAATACTATGTTAAAGTGTAGGAAAATTCTTGTTTGATCTTTAGACCTTGGTTTCATACTCATTATATAGATCTTAGATTATAAACATAATGAAAGAATTGGGATTTTTGCAACAAAAAAAAAACTTGCAAGCCAATGAAAAGTGTGAAAATATCCATATTTGCATACGAACCTTAGGACCACAGAAGCACTACTCTGCAATGTATTTGTTAATTTGGATTTCTTGCAGTCAAACTAGAAGAATTTTGATAATTTATTTTCCAAAATTATATTTTGTATTACATATTACTACAAAAATGATTTAGATAGATTTTATCGATCTTGTAAAACATTCTCAAGACAATTAATTTACGGAGTATTTTATTAATATACAATGCATCTGAGTTTGATTGTAAGAAGTCAAACTAGACAAATACACTTGAGATATATTCTCAAGTCAACGACAACAAATCAAAATTAATACCGGTATTCAAAAAAATTAAAGAATATGAAAGAAAATGGAGTGAAAATACTATTACTTTCTTCATCACATAAAACTCTTTATAGTTTGATATTTTTGGTAAATCTACAATACATTTTGACCATGAATAAATATACTTTCAGACAGGGCCGGCCTTGAAAAACGAAAGAATGAATTTGGCCCGGTCCAAAATTTACATTTTTGGCTCTATTTTATTATTTTAGAATATTTATGCTTCAAAATTAATGATGAATTTAAAAATATGGGCCCTAAAATTTTAAGGGCCCTGTACAGTTGGCCACTTTAAACACCTTCCGGGCCACCCATGCTTTCAGATTAATATCAAGGTAAATGTTATAAAATGTGATGTATAAAAATTACATCGTAACATGATTTAAACTATATTAAATTTACATTATAATTAAATTTTAATTTTTCCATAATTTATAGTCAAAGAATACAAAATTTGATCTAAAAGATCAAATTGTAAAAAATTTTGTGAATTCATTCGAGGAAGGAAGCATTAATGTATTAATATCAATAATCCCAAATGGAAACACTCTGCATTTCGGCCCAATCATCATCCTCCGGGCCTTTCACAAGCCCAACATCCATCCACATCTCGCATGGCGAGTCCATCGGCGTCTCGTTTATGGCCTCTATTTCACTCGCCGACAGGCCCACCCTCACCTCGCCCAAGCCTTCAGGCACCGCCGCCGCCTCGCCGCCGGCCCGCGGCGGCGCGAACCGCATGGCGGCCTCATGTGCCGCCAGCCGGACGTCCTCGGCCCGAGAACTGGCCGGCCGGGGGAAACCCTCGACCAGCTCCGGGAAGTTGAGGCGCACGTAGCGGCCCTTGAAGTGGAAGGCCGCCACGTCGTAGGCGGCGGCCGCCATCTCCGGGGTGTCGTAGCTCCCCAACCATATCCTCGTCTTCGTCCCCGGCTCCCGGATCTCGGACACCCATTTCCCCCATTTCCTCTTCCTCACTCCCTTGTAAGAATGCCCATTGTTGCATGGTTCTTCATCCATTTTCACAAGAAATATATTTTTCTCAAATTGGATTTTAAAAGATACATGTATATATAGATGTATATATATACATGTTGTGCATGTGTGGGGAGAGTTTCGAAGTAATTACGTTGCATGAGACTATATGGAGTGAAAGTGGATGAAAGTTGTATGACAGAAGGATGGTCTTTGACGATGTATGGGAAAAAAAGGTGAAAACAAGAGACTTCTAAATGTCTACTCTTTTAGTCATTAAACCAATTAATTCCATGCGTGTCATATCCTCAGCTCGGAATTGTGAATAGTTTGAGGTCGTGGTTCAAGAAAAGTTTTTTATACGCTCTGCAATTTGACATTGCGTGTACAATTAATGACATTTTATCGTATTTTTTTGTAGTAGTATTAAGTCCGTTTTTCACATAGAAGCATTAGAATTCCAATCACATTTTAATACGAAATATGTGTGTGTGTCTATGTGTGTCGTATATATATAAATTTTATATGGTCAAATTTTATTCATATTGTTTGATCATTTTTTTTGGAAGTTGGAGGGAGTAGTGGTAAAACATAGTCTGTATTTTAGTTGTGTTTAGGAGTTTTAATTAAGGAGTTACAAAGAGAGAGAGAGAGGGAGAGAGTAGTTGGGAGAGATATTCACTCGTTTTCAGTGCCCACTCATATGTTGACAATTTATATGGGGTGGGAATAGCCAGTTGGCTTCCGGCCGGACTGAACCGGAGTTTTGATTGAGAAAAAGAAAAGGTCCAGGCAATGGGAAAAAGTGAAAAACCACGACAGAGGGAAGTCAAAGTCGACTGATACACCACATATACACCAAGCCAAAAATAAATACATATAAATATTTAATATTTGTGTGTGTACAATCATTAAATGTCTATGTGTGCCTATTTTAGACTTGGTGTACATGTAGTGTACCTTAAATGGTGTTCCCCTAGCACTCTTCAAGAGTTTAACATGCATGCATGTAAGGTCATTTGGTCTTACTACATTTCATAATCTTGGACCTTAGTCTAAGATTGGGGGATTCATTATAATACTCATTCTGTTCCAGAAAACATTTCTTGTTTTGATTTTTAAGAGACTTAAAAGTAGTGTATTTTGATGTTGATTTTCAAAAAATATCCTTAGATGTGATATGCAAAAGGAGATGTGATGGGTATGTTAGTAGTGAAAAAGTGTGATATGATATGTAGGTGAAGAATTAGTAGGGGTAAAAGTGACTTTTAAAAAGAAATGAGAAATTTTATTTGGAACAATGAAAAAAGAAAGGAAAAAATATTTTGTGTGACGAAGGATGTATTATATTCTTAGTTTTGCCACATCAAAAATGCTAAAAACTCACGGTTGGTTAGCATGAGTGGCCACGAATTTATTTTTGAACATCTTTTAAAGAAAAATTATATTAATGGGTTAGACTAGACTTACGTATTACAATCTCACTTCTCATTCTCCATTAGTGTGGGATTAAATTTGTATCCCAGCATGGTGGAATAAGAGCATGAACAATGGCAAGACATACATTGGAATGCCACACGCTGACATGACACGGTTTAACCAATCAAAATCAATCTAGTCACACAGTGGCATGGCATAATCCTGCAATGGCAAGTCACTTTTTTTGTCTTACTTTACATTTTTGACATATTTTTGACATTCTTTTATAAACTAAAAATGAAAGAATGATAAAACATATTGTGTAGACTAAATTATGAGGCATTCAAGAGCTCTTATTCTGGATCTTCTTTTATCATTTTGTCAAACAACTTGTGTGCATACTAAGACAAAATTTATTTTCATTGAATTAGGGCAAAGAGATTGAATTAGGACAAAGAGAAGGGGCAAATTTCAGAGGAGATGAGTATGAGAGGGGTACGTGAGAGTGAGAAGGTGGCCGGCGATGGTGACCTGACTTCCAAAGAGAGGTGCCGCTGGTGATTTCCGTAGAGGGCAGAGACGAGAAGCGGCCGCTGGTGATTTCCGCAGAGCGCAGATGCTTTGGACGATGCTCCTCTTTGCCTCGCACTCGCCTCGCAGATCGGAGTGGCTCGCGGCATGCCACGCGACCCAATTTTTGCCACTCCCGTTGTGTCTCTTGGATCTCCACGGATGGCAGGGCGTGGCAAGGAAAATCCTTGCCGCTGCCAATGCTCTAATGCAAGTCCCACGCGAGGCAAAAGGGAGAGTGGGCTGACGTGGCAGGCGTGCAAACTGGCAATGGCATGCAAAGCCACGCCATTGCCAATGGGCTTACTTTTCACTCTCTCTCTTCTATTTTTATTTACGTATAATTTTTCTCCTTAAATTTATTTTATATACAATATTTAATACTCCTTCCATTTTTGAAAATATTTTTTCTTTCATTTTCATTCTCTTTAATCACCAAAGCACTTCTACTTTATATTAAAAAATCACTTTTACCTCTACTAGTTATCATCCTATCTATCACATCATATTTTTTATTAATAATTTATCCATCACATCTTAATTACTTTTACCAATCACATCAACGATAAAATTTGAAAGTCAACTATAAATACCTTGCGTTGCTTATTTATTCCATTAGTCAGAATAAAAAACTTGTTGGTGAACAGATAGAGTATAATAAATGAAAATATATAATTTTTTTTAAAAAGTAAGTTAATTTACAAGGTATACTTTTACTTAATCAAAAAATAGAGTTTTTTGTACTACTTACCCTCAACCTTTTAAAAAAATGCACAGATTTCTCCTGAACTTTAAAAGTTGAACCAATGATCTCAAAAAATTTTAAAACGTTACATCTTTGTGCCATATTTGAGAATACGTTAATCACACGTTCGTCATTACATGTATTAGTCCATCTAAATTCTAAACTCATATATCACACGTGAGTTCTATCTTTTTTATTTTATATTCCCTCTGTCTCAAAAAACTTTTTCAATTTTGACTTTTGGGAGGGGGAGATATAGAAGTTTGACCAATACAAAACGATGACAATTTAAACAAGTTAGGCTCGAGAAATGTCAAAATGGGTCGAGAGTAGAAAGTAAGCGAAATTGAAATGTCTTATAAGACTAGTAAGGAGTGAAAATTGAAATGTTTTAAAGAGTGGAGGGGTACTACTTTGTAAATAAAATATTTAAAAATAAAATCGAAATTTGTACGCAAAAGTGAAATATTAGGTGTTTTTAAAAATGGATGGAATACTTGCTTTAGAAATCACCCTAGATAGGACTATAAAAATAGAAAAAAGTACCAAAATATGAGTTCTATGTTTTTATTTTTGAAATAAGAATTCACACTATTTTAATGTGGTTGTAATGTGGCACTGTACATGTGCACATTACTATACTTTTTGGTAATGTACATGACCATGCTTGGTAATTGTTAAATATATTAATTATATTTAATATTATTGTTACCATATTTGTATAGGTTTCATATTATTTCTCTCCTACCTTATTTAGGATTGAGACTCCTTGTATATATACATGTATTCACAACACAATTAGAATAAATAAAAATGATCTTTCTCAAGAAAGTCTATACCAGCCAGCCTTCCGGATTTCAAGATGGCACTCGACCTCACGATGTTTGCAAATTGAAGAAGGCTCTCTACGAACTCAAGCAAGCACACGCTCATGGTATCGCAGATTTGCATGGTTCATTGAGACCATTGGCTTTCGTGAGTGCAAGACTGACACATCTCTCTTTGTTTTATCCCATGCTACGGGCACCGCCTAGCTTCTACTGTATGTTGATGATATAGTTCTCACGACCTTTCTCCTACACTCCTCCAGAATATCATTCAGCGGCTAAAGGCTGAGTTTGCCATGACAGACTTCGGACCATGCTACACTTACCATACTCCACATGTGTAATATTTGATAATTGAAGAATTAAATATGGAATATACCTTTATAAAAAAAAATTAAGGATCATCCTACACTTACACCAAAAATTGTACCCCATTTGTAACACCACAACCCGCGTAACCCGAACCAACGGGTTAGCGAACGGGGTTGTCACTAAATTGATATTCGCATGCATAAATTTTCTCTTCTAAAATAACAATTAAATCAATTATAAAATTCGTCCGTAGAGTTTTAACTAAACCCAAATTCATCAGAATAATTAAATAAATCCAAACGTCACGGAAGCATAAGAAAACCAAAGTAACGTCCAACAGTCCATATAATCAAATAAAATAATGTAGTTTAATTATTAAAGTAAACAAGAGCCATCCACGCTACACCACCACTTCACTGCCCTCCGGGTTACCCATCCAAATCTGTGTTCCTACCAGCGTGCAGTCAAACAACAACCACTACACGCTCAGCGAAAAGCTGAGTGAAAATATACCTAAGCCAGCATTAACTCACAGAATAGCACCACATTAACATACAATCAACAACAGCATGTGACCACGGAGAAAAATAGCTTAAATAAACATATTTATATTAACACCTTCCATTTGAAGGTCATGTCCTTATTTTATTCCACATCAACTACTTTGAGTCATGGCACCCCAAGCGATGCTATAAAAGGGCCAGCTCAGAAACCCAAAGGAGATTCACTTTGGGCAGGTTGAAGCCCCTGTCCCTACGATGCCAGGACAGGTCGCGGACTTCTGTATGTACGTTTTTAACCCAAGACCACTGGGGGTGCGACGATGCCCCGCAATGGCCAATTTCCTAACCACATCTTAGTGGTGGTTCAATCAGTCAATCCAATTCAGGTCCGCCTAATTATACTAGGTGGCCTATTTCTCATATATTATTCGTAATCCACAATATTCACCAATAAGATCAGTTTAATTTAAATCTCAGTTTACAATTCACAACAAATCACGTAGCGGCCTATCCGGGTCGAAGTCCCACGATTACCATCATGCATAATCAACAAACTAAATTACAATTAACCCAACTTACCTGCGCGGAATCGAGCCCAAGGAATCGATCCTCAAGCCCGCTGCCCCCGCCGGAGCAGTCCCCATTGTCACCAGACCAACCCCGGCAACACCGCCGGTAGCCGACCCGGCTGCCCGACCAAACAGCCCTATTGGGTGATTCACAGCAACCCGAACAATCCCAAACAGCCCCAATTGCATCAATTTGAGTCCAAACAGACCCGATTACACCCAATTGCACACGAACGGACCCGATTGAACCCAATTAGACCCAAATTGAATCCAATGGGAACTAATTGGACCCAATTGGATCCCACACAGCCAACCCAAGCCACTGTTAGAGCCCTGACTGGACTGCCGACGTCCGCCACCGGCTTCTAAACGGAATCCGGCGTTGTTCAACCCCCAATTTCTTCAAACCCAACCAAATTCATCAATTAACAATCAAATTCACAATCAATTACTAAATTATACATTAAGGAAGTCCTAATCTACGAATTAACGCTAACGGAAGGTATAGAAACCACAAATCACCTCGAAATTGACGAATTCAACCTTGGATTGGGAAGGACTTGCCGCTGCAACTCCTCCCTGGTATCGCCGGCCTGCTGCACGCGACGGAGGAAGAAGAGGAGAATGTCGCCGGAACTCTTGAAGTCGACGGCGAGTCACGACGCTACCCTGGTCGACGGAGACGAGCGAGAGAACGGACGGTTGCTCCTCTCCCTCGGTGATGCGCGGACGGAAATAGCGGCGGAGAACGAGGAAGATGGCGGCGATTGGCGGCGTCGGCTTCCTGGTCGGCGTCTCCGGTCGACGGTACAGCGGCGGACATAAGGTAACGAAAGAGAGAGAGACCAGTCGTGCGTTACGCATTGTGTGTATCCTTTCAGTAACCTCGGCGTTTATTATTTACTACCTTCGTCCCAAAATATATTATATAAGAGAACAAATATATTATATAAGAGAATATTACGCTAAACAAAGTAACTTTTTGAATTTTTTCAATCCATTTTATTTAAAGAATGGTCTACAAATGAAAAATAAAACTTACATATTTAAAAATTACGTCAAAAGTTCTACAAAATAAGTGGTGATAAGAATATTTTATTTTATCAAATAACCAATGAAAATACAAAAATAAATAAAAGTTCCCGTGATTTTTAAATAGTAGAGTGTTACTTATATTTTGGGACGGAGGGAGTAATTAAATATATTTAGGATCCACTTTACACTACTTAACCAATTAGGATAAGTTTAACCTCAATTACCTAATTCGTCAATCGTATCTCGGACCCTGTAGATCCAATTCACGACCCGTTTGCGCGATCGGGTTCAAAACAGCAAGCTCTAAAATGAAGGATTAACCCTCATTAATTAAGGCAAATTAGAAAATAATCTTCGTATAGACAGGCTCAATAATCATTTAAATTTTATAAATTAATTAAAATACTAATCTGGGTTTTGGGGCGTTACACCATTTGTATACCGCAGTTATACACAAACATTTATATAGTTTACACTGACACAAGTATTGATGCGTTAACAAAAATTTACGCGAACACAAAGTATCGGTGCGTTAATAAAAATTAGTTTTACACCAACACAAAATGTTGGTGCAAACCTGCGGTGAACAAATGAGGTACAAAAGCTTGGGGTACAAATAGCTTTATCCAAAAATTAATTAAGGAATTTACCATAGTTTTAAAAATCGGACCGGACCGGCCGGTTTGGACCGTGAACANTTACAAAATGCAAATCATGCAAAGATTTCGTTTTTTTAATATTAAACAACTTATTTGAAAAAAATAAAATCAACTCTTCATTTAAAATTCTTTTATATTTTTTTAATATGTAAATTTTATTTTTTAATTTTATAAAATAACTCAAGTATATTAATATAGTATTACTTAAATGTTATAAATTACTTTCTTTAGATATTTATAAATGAGAATGTGTGTGTCTATATGTATGTATGTATGTGTGTGTAAATATATATACATATAAATATACATACACACACACATATATATTTATTTATTTATATTTATATAATTTTGAAATATGTTTAAACCACTGGTTCGATCAGTTGAACCACTGGTTCGACCAGTAAACCAGTGAACCAGTACCTTGATCGGTTCGGTCACCGGTCCGGTTCTGAAAACTATGGAATTTACTTTTTAAAGTCACGATAGAAAGACACCAAGTTACACCCTATTTTTATCTTCAATGCCTTTACAACTTCAATGTCTTTACAAACATCACAACATTCAACACTATTTCTATGTCTGTAATGATGTAATGGAGTCAAAACTCAAAAGGCTGATGTAACTTGGGTTGCTCAAAAATTTTTCTTACTTTTTTCATTGGTTGTTTTTGTCCCTCAAATCAATTTATCATTTATAGAACTCATCTTCCCCAACATTACAGAGAACTGGGTTTGCAGACCATAAGTAATGGTTATGAAAGGTCTTGTTTGAGGAAGAATGAATGAAGAATGTGTATGCTTAGCATGGGATACCATCTCTGTGATGCAACTCCTTAATTTGTGTGTTTTTTTAATCAGCTTTCTTTAACTATGTTTTCCCCTTTTCTGCTTCCTGCTGCTTGTATTAGCTAGAGAGAGGCTTTCTTTTACCATGCCTTTTTTTGTAGTGATGTTCTTTGCCTACTAAGAATTTGTTTCAAGAAATTCCAGCATGGAAAGACATAAGACAGAAATCTTCCTCCCCACACACAGAATGCAAATTCAAGCTTAGTAGCATCTGTTATTGGCAACTAGTTTAACCAGACTTGCACAACAGAGATGATGCTCCATAAAGCCCATTCTATAACTGACGTTAAAGCCCGCGTACGTAATCGTTCTCTTCTCCAGATCATACCAAAGCGGGATCATATCGTCGTGCGCCATGAACACCTCCCGCCCGCTCCGGGAATACGCCACCGGTTTAACATAAGAAACCTTCAAAAAGGAACCCCAAACAGAATCCGGTTCTCCTATGGTTAACAGCTTTGTCCAAGATTTCTCCTTTACCCATATGTCTAGAGACTTAGATTCTCCATAATAGCACATCATACACAGGGAGCCCCCTAATGCCTCCACATTCATGTGAAAATTTCCATTCTCAGCAGGAAACTCCGGCTGGGGAACCAGCCTATACTCCTCCATCTCGAGATCAAACGCACCAATCACAACATTTTCGTCCTCGGGGTCGATGCTGCTGCATTTGAAGTGCAGAGAACCCGAAGCCAGCACTCCATTGGACATTCCATATTTCAGATGAAAAGGAAAGCGATCGATCTTCCTCCACGTTTTCAGCTTCATGCTATACACTCTCGCTTCAGTCTCGGCGCGAACACGCTGGATGATTCTCAACACCTTATAATCATCGCTCTTGTTATCGTACCCGAACCCCAGACCCAAATGGCAGTCATCCGAAACCGTAGAGGATGGTATTTTGAACATTTCCCAGGTTGTGGGGTTCCACAGAGCAATGGTTTCGTCTTTGAAGTGGCCACCCAAACACAGAACTCCGCGGCAAGAGCCGATGACATTTGCTACAATTGCTTTGCTCTCGAAGGGGCAGTCGAGCTTGGTATAATGGACTTTCTTAGTCTTTTCTACCGAATCCAAGTCCGCCCAGAAGAAATAACCGTCTCCCCGGAGAAGTATATAATAACTTTAATCACTGGTTTGACGCGAGGGAAGCCCATTTCCACTGCTCCAAACATCCAAAACCCCAATAATTTGTTTGTGTTATGGTTTCAATCACAACCCAAGTAGGTTCGCCGGTGGAGTTGAGCACAGTTGCATAGACCATCTGCGGCGCAATATGGAAGGCATATATAGAACGATGCTGTTTGGAATCATGTGGTGCCAGAACCAAGCTCTACAGCCTGTTTGGTTACAGAAATGGATTGTCAATGGCATCTCAGAATTGGGAGTGTGCTTAGCTTCTTTCACCTCAAGGGAGGTTCATGGCAGTGGCTAATGGAAGACTGCTCGGCCCTCAAGAGACGACTATCATGGAGGCGTTGGTGTGTAAGGAGGGATATAGGCCGATATGCCTTTCTTATTTTGATGTTGTGATTGAGGATTGTTTGTTAATTTTGTCTTCGTTTCCTTGTGTTTGTTCTTGTATGTTCGTCATATACAGATAATATAGGTTGTTCATACCTTGGCTAGACATGTTGTTGCTCAGCGGGGGCGTTGGGACCTTAATCTTAAGGACTTTATTAGCTCGTTGATGATTTAATGAATGTCTATTGTTTGCTTTAAAAAAAAAAAAGGTGGCATTAATTTTTTCTATGGTTCTAGTTCCGAACTTTTGGGAACTTTTTTTTTTTTGGAAAAATGATATTGGGCATATTTTTGACTTCATATCACCAAGTATTTTTTATTGTTGGTACATGTTGTCAATCATAAACAAATTGAAAACATATATCAAAATTTTTTACAAAAAGTAAAATCAATTCTTACTTCATTTCTAGTACTCAAAGGTTAAAGCCACAACGTGAACATTTATCACTAGAATAAAGCTAGGGTGCCACCACATGGGTGCTTTTAGGCTTTGCACAAACACGCACAGACGATAATTATTCGTGTTTGTGCAAAGCAGGAAGGCACCCAATCTACCCATAGTACTATAGTAGTACCTGCATAACTGATTATTGTCTGTGTAAGCATTAATCAACGGTATTTTCATGCGTGGGGGTGAGGGTGGAGGCACTATAGCATGGCCTTATAAGGAGTAACCTCTTTTTGCATATCACCAATTAGCTAAGGGTCTATTCCGTTTAAATTATTTTTTTACTTATTACTTATTGTTTTCAAAATCAGATCAAGTCTAATCAGATTAGATTGAATTAAATTATATTAGGTCAGATCTAATCCAATTTGATCACAAATAACTTCAAACTTAATTATAAATAAGTTTAGATCAAATTAGACTAATGGTACACTGAAGAGTAAGTTACACTATTTGATTTGCAAAATCATCTTGATTGAAAAAATGCAACCATGCTAGGGGTACACTAAAGAGTGTACCACACATTGTACAAAAAAAATTACCTTAGTATGTGTCCAATTTAAACTTATTCCGATCAACTGTTTTTAACATTTGACATATAATTAAATAAAATATATATTGTATATTAATTAGATAAAATAATACTTTAAAAATATTTGATATAATAAATCAAATACGGAGTAAAATTAAATAATACTGTATCTAATATCATTTTTATTTTATTTGAGAACAAAGTTTACCTATTCTAACTAAAAAAAAGTTAAACATAGACTAATGCTAACACAAAATACAAATGCAAACAAATTCTTTGGAATAGCATTATCTGCAATTGTAAAATCCCCCAAGGTTCAAAACTTGGGTACAACTTCTCATATACAGCAACCGTCCTCTCTGTCCACAACTCCTAGCCCACAACACCCTACCGCAACCGTCTTCTCCGTCCAGAAACTATGTCGGACATACCGTCGGAAATCGTTGCCGACTTCTTATCCCGAGTTCCCGCGCTCTCCCTGCTCCGATTCAGGTGCGTTTCAAAATCATGGCGTTCGATGATCGATAGCCCCCACTTCATCAAAATGCATCTGAATCGGACCCTCCAAACGAACTCCGATCGGAAGCTCATTCTTCGATCATGTTATCTCTACTCTGCCGACTTCGATCTGCTCGAGAAGACTAACCGTGCCGATTACACGGAGCTTGACTACCCCTTGAAGCGGGACGATATAGGAATTAATGTCGTCGGCTCATGCCACGGAATCCTGTGTCTTGACGGCGGCGTTGAAGACAAAGATATTGTGCTTTGGAACCCTACGACTCGGAAACAATATGCTTTACCCTTCTCTGAATTCGAATTTCCAGGTGACGATTTCTTCTGTACCAGTCGATTGGTTTACGGATTTGGATATGATAAAGTGAGTGATGATTATAAGGTATTGAGAATCATACAATCTTTTGACTGCGAGAGCGAAGTGAAAGTGTTTAGTATGAAATCAAAATCGTGGAGGAAAATCGATTGCTTCCCTTATTATCTGAAGTTTAAGAGAGTTAATGGAGTACTCGCTTCGGGTTCTTTGCATTGGGTTGTATGCAGCGATGCAGATGCCGAGACTGAATATTTAATTGCTGCTTTTGATCTTGAGACTGAGGAGTATAGGTTGGTTCCCCAACCGGACTATCCTAGAAGAAAGCGAAAGTTTCATATGAATGTGCTGGCTTTAGGGGGATACCTTTGTATGATGTGCAATTATCTCAAATCCAAATGTGTTGACATATGGGTGATGAAAAACTATCCGGCGAAGGAATCTTGGACCAAGTTGTTAACCATCCGAGAATCGGACACTAATGCGAAGTCTTTTGATTATGTAACACCGGTAGCATATTCCAGGAGTGGGAGGGAAGTGTTCATGGTAGTTAATGATATGCTACCTCTGTGGTATGATTTAGAGAAGAGACAGATTAGTTACACAACCTTTTCCATATCTGAGAGTTTGAATTTTATGGAGCATCACGTGTGTTTTGGGAGCCTGGTTAAGCTCGATAGTGGCATTGCTGGCAGTGCTGAGAGGGTGCCAGATAAAAGGGAAGTGGTAGCTAGTCGCCGTGGTGCTAAGAAAAAGGGAAATAAGAAAAGGTGTGCTAATTACCTTGTTTACCCCTGCCTATAGCTATTTTATTCTGTTTGCTACTGCTAATAAGTTCTGCTTCATGTAGTGATAACTTCCTGTCTGAGGGCTTCAAGTTGGTGCTTTAATCGACCCAGGCTGCTTGCAAACAGATGGTACTTAGGTACGCTCACAAATGCCCATTTTCGTCCTTCTTAGATCACATTCACATAATCACATGGTCTGAGTAATGTATATCATGTGCCATTTTTAGTCTGCCGAGAGCCTTGAATCGATTAACTGTGTAATGGCAATGACTTTTTTAGCCGAATGGGACATGAACACAATGCTTAGCAGTAGTTATTTAATTGGAAAAACATCAAATGCTTGGTAGGAAATAAGTGTCTTATATGCTGGACGGTTGACCTCTTTCAATTGTATTTGATGATTTTTGTTGTTGTTGATGTTGTTGTTGAGTGTTGGGAGGGTTTCTCCAACATCGAAAAAGAAACAACAAAGTGTCCAACATATAAGTTCTATGGTCTCTCCTCTTATCGCCAATTGGTTTTAAGTTGGAACTGCCGTGGGCTTATCTGTTAGGCCTATCGCGCAAGTGCGCTCAAACCGGCATGTGTCCCACTGCACTTTTATCATTGAGTCTCTTTAAGTTTTGATCCTTTGTATTTTGTTAGTTTTAATTTCTACATTTTCTTTCATTCGTCTGGTTAAATTTTTTCCCCAATAATTCTTTTTTCTTCCTAAATACGGAGTAAAATTTTCTTTGTTCTTTAGATAGTGTTTAATTGAAATATTTTTATTTAATTTTGAGTGTTAGTGTATAATTAAAAAATACAGAGTACAATTTATTTTTTTTTAAAAAAAACATCAAAATTGTGTTAAATCAGTGGTGTACTGGTGGCATTAATTTTTGCTACGGTTCCAGTTTGAACTGGTTTTAAGTTTTTTTTTTTTTGGAAAAATTTGACTTCATATCATCGAGTATTTCTTGTTGAACAAATCACAAACAAATTCAAAAGAAATGTTAAAATTTATTTAAAAAAAGTATAATCGATTTTGATTTCAATTCTATTACCCAAAGTGAGAACGGAAATCTGAACATTTATCCGACCTAAGTGTAAAGTATTTTGGATAAATTTTAGTGTTGTAAATTAATTTTAAAAATGTTAAATGCTATCATACTTGCCAAACCTAAGTGCCTTTTAAGATATATATGGTCTCGATCCTAAATATAAAAAATTACCAAGTACAATCAATTAGCATGTCTACATATTGAGTGAATATAAAATATATTTGTTGTACATGACTATATATATAATGAGGTGTGATCTAGCTTTATATCTAAATCAAATTGGAGGTTATTGTTTTCTCCATTTAGTGCTAGCTTTAGCATTTGCCAACCATTTAAATTAAATGTTCTACCCATTGTTTGGCTAGTATTTCATTTAATATTGTCCTTAGAAAGGGCAAAAATAGTGTTTCACCATATATCCATCTTATGGTATGTGTTTGTGGGAGCACATATATATACACACACACCCACACATAGGTTGTTCCTACAAATTGTTTTACCAATAAATTTACATTTTTTTCACAATAAACCATATATAAGCTAATTATAATAAAGATTGCAAAACAATGGCAGCCAAAACAAGAGGCATTGTTGTTGTATGTCTAATACTGGCACTCATTGCATGCACAGATCTCTTCTTCGCCATGGGAGATGCAAAGGAAATCAAACGCGGCGCTCTAGTGTTCGATTTCCCCCATTGTGGCCGTAACAAAAACAAGAAGTGCGGCGACGCGTACAACAAGCCGTACGAACGAGGATGCGAGAAGAGCCAACGCTGCCGCCACGACTCAATCGGTGGGCTCCGCAGCGTCGGTCACGATGGGGACCATGATCACGAGGTGGGACCCGGTGGACACGATGAGGACCATCACGAGGCGGGACCCGGTGGACACGATGCCTTGTAAAGATTGAAGCAGCATGGCTGGTTGGTTGGTTGAATGAGTTTCACATAATGAAACGGATCTCAACCCATCCTTCTATATTAGAGTCGAGTCCTAAATAGCCAATTTTTTTGCATGTATAACATTACCTTATAGTCTATAGATGTACTCTCTATGTTGCATTGTATCTTATCTACAAATTATGTAAGAGTAAATTTTGAAGATAACATTGTACTGAAATTATAAATTTTTTAAATTTTACTTTTTTTGAAATAGTAATATTTTATGGGACAGAGAGAGTGTAGTTTTAGTAAATGAAGGACAAGTTTTCCTGCCTTGTATAAACTATATATAGTGTATATATATAATACATTTATTGCAAAGATTTATACAACTTGCTGTATATTACACACAATATTGTCATTCATCTGTGACGAAATTATTAATTTTTGTTCGCGGGTTTCACGAAAGTATAACTGATAAGAAGAATGTAAAATATAATTATTGTGTTAATCATAATTAAGAATTACCATAAGTATTACTTTAATTTGGGCATATGGCCATCAATTTTTATTAATTATTCTCATGTTTATCTTATGGGGGTTAAAAATAATTAAATTAAATTAATGAGATATTTTAGAGACTATCATTTTTGAGGAATTTACGTAAATAACACTAAAACATAATGGCTTTCCCCTAAATAGTACTACATGTGTTTTTTCCCAATCTAGTACTTTTAGTCATTATCCATTAGTCATTATTCAAGTAAAACATTTTTCTTTCTTAAGAGAATAATTTTCCTAAAAAATGATTTCTCATGACTTATACAAGCAAACATAAGAATATACAATTGATTTTTTTGGAAAAAACTTTATTCTCTCAACCAAATAATGGACCCTTAGAGTTAAAATTCAAAAGAAAGAGGTCTTATATTAGAAAAACTTAAGAAACAATTATAGAATCGAACAAAACTACGTTTTATCCCGTGTATTGCACGGTTTAAAATACTAGTACTAGTTTAATTTGTACATGTATATGACTATATAATTAGGTGCTATATGTTTATATATATTGTCTAAATTAATTGACGGTTATTGTTCTCTCCTTTATTTGGCAAGTATTTCATTTAATACTATCCAGGGGCAAAAATGGTGCTTCACCAAACATCCATCTTATGGTTTGTAAGCATACATATATATACACACACCCACACATAGCTAGGTTGTCCCTACCATTGTTAGAAATAAATTTACATTTGTTTACAATAAGTTCAATACAAGCTAATAATAATAAGGACATTTAACAATGGCCAACACAAGAGGCATTATCCTTGTGGTTTGTCTATTCGGACTCGTTGCGTGCACAAATCTATTCTACATGGGAGTTGCTAAGGAGATTGGCAATGGCGCAATATCTTATGGTAATCCTCGATGTGGCCATGAGAACAAGAGATGCGAAGAAGCTCCGACCCCAAAACCTTACGATCGGGGATGCAACCACTATGATCGTTGCCACGGTGGCCCTCCTGGTCCTAACTTTGAGGACGGGTTCGATAGTCTCCCCCCTGGTCAGGATCATGGCGATGGGAATAGTCGTCGTGAGACTGAGTAATTAATTAAGGAGTCATAATGAAACGACTCTGACTTTGTCCCTCTACGTTATGTAATGGCAAAATTTTCATTCTGAATTGTTGTTGTGTTTGTCTATGCCATGTATGATTTGTAAACACATCATATGTGTTTATGACTAGTGCTTATATTACCTCAATAAAGCTTGTTAAAATTTAATTATTCCATTCGTCCACAAATTCAATTTCTTCAATTCCCATTTTGTAATTTGTATTTAATCATCAAATGATCTATTTTATTTTATTTCTAAAACAAAAAAAAGATTAAGTGTATAATAGTAAAATTGATAGTAACACATATATAAACATGACAATATCTTTATATTCTTTATATATTAAATTTGAGAGTTGAACTCTCAGAATCGATATGTATCGAGTCCACTTGGCAAAATTTTAACATATGATTCGCTACCTATTAATGACTTAATGATGGGACAATTTTAATCAAAATATATAGTATGTGCCTTATATATGGAGTGCTAATGTAGTTTTTTTTTTAGAATATTTATCTTTATATATTAACCTTGAGAGTTATCTTCCAGAATTGTGATATGTGTCACACTTATTGGATAATTTATTTACATGTCAACCGTCATGTCGGTCACCAAACATTGATCGTAACTTTTCTTATTGTTTTCGTTCTGATTGCCATCAATCTTCCTATTTTTCATGTGAAATTAGCTTCTTCCCAAACATTTCTTATTGTATTCTTTTTGAATAAATGATATTCAAATATTGTTTTCTTAAAAAATGAAATTATAGAAATTGATATTTAAATATTTTCTAAAAATATAAAAATGTATACTATGTATATTAAAAGGCAAAAAGTTTACAAATGGATAAATAATGCATTTGTATTATGTGTAATAAGTTAATTATTAATTGCTTTTTACAATCGAATAATTTATGGTATAATATTAATTATTATAAATGCAACTATGATCAAATAATATTTTTAAATACTAATTGTTATATTTTTGGTTAAAATATAATTGTTATATTCTTAAATGGTACATGGTTTATTTATGAAAAAGTACATAGAATTTGGAAATTATAACAACCTATTACGGGATAAAAGGTATAAAATGTTTAATATTTACATATTTAAAGGCAAAAAAGTTATACATGGTCTGCAATGTCTTTAAAAGCAAAAAGTACATCTACTTTGTTACTAACTCTCAAGTTTTTATTTGAAAAACTATCATGTATAAAAAATAAAAAATATATTTATAACACATGCCAAAAAGAAGTATGAAAGACCATCAATAGGCTGACTACAATGTGTGACAACAGGAACCAAAGAGTTATGATAGCTTAGAGACAATAACAATATTCTAACTCATTCGAGGAAGCATGCGATGCATTGGGGTTATTAACCGATGATAAATAATTTATTGAAGAGATAAAAGAGGATGCCTTATTAGGATATGAGAATCAATTAAGAAAGTTTTTCGTCACATCATTAGTGACAAATATCATGAGTCACCCGCAAATTGTTTGAAAAAAATCGTGAGAGCTCTTGATGGATGAAATTTTATTTGATCAAAAGAGAATATTGCGTAATCAAGGTATTTCAATAGAAAAATAGCTGTTTTAAACATATTAGTCCATATGTAATACACTTCGTTAAAATCAAACATTTTAAGTGAGTACTATGTAGAACTAATTAAGTCACATGTTTTCTAATTTTTTCTAAGCATATAATTTCCCGAAAAGATCTAATGAATTTATGTCTTATTGAGAATGAAAGTCCACTTAATAAATTTCAAAATAATTTCTAGGTATAAGAATTAACGATGATAAAGAAATTCATCTGATCTTATGGGATACTTATCTACAATTAATGAAGATCAGTGGAAGATATACGATGAAATAATAAAAATTGTGACAACTGAAAGAGGAGGTTTCTTTTTTGTATATGGTTACGGTGGAACTGGAAAAATATTTCTATGAAAATCATTGTCTGCTTCTCTGAGGTCAAATGGTAAGGTTGTCTTGAATAACAATCAGTGGCATTGCCACATTGCTTTTGCCTGGGGGAAGGATAGCACACTCTAGATTCTCAATCTTTCCAGCACTAACTAAGTGCTCAATGTGTGCCATCAAACAAGGAAGCCTGAAAGCAGAACTAATCCAACAAGAAAGTCTAATCATATGGGATGAAGTATGTATAATGAATAAATTTGCTTTTGAGGCATTGAATCGCACAATGAGAGATGTAATGATGAGTTTCTCAAATAAAATTTGAGAAATAAATCATTCGGAGGGAAAAGAGTTGTACTGAGAGGTGATTTTCGAAAAATTCTTCCTGTTTTACCCAGAGTTTGAAGAGAGGAAATTGTAGGTACTACCATCAATTTTTCAAAAATATGGTCGTATTGTAAACTTTATACGTTGAAGCAGAATATGAGATTGTATTCATTGACGTCCTCTTGCGCAGATAGGGACACATAAGCCCTTTCTAATTAGATAATCAAAGTTGGAGATAGATTGCTTGGACACGTGATTGATGGAACAACTAACGTTTAAATTTCGTCCAAATTGATTATTTTAGACCTACGTCTCGTAAATTGATTATTTTAGACACAAGTTACCCCCAAATTGGAAGTCAACTATAATTTTACACTTCCTTATTTTGGCTCCAAGTCAAAGTAGGAAGCTTTTTTGCAAACGGAGGGAGTATAATTTTTTCTAACTTAAAAAGAAAATTTTTATATCATGAATATACAATAACATGGCGTTTTGTGTGCGTATCCAAGCCATGGCGTTCGACGATGATCGACAGCCCAAACTTCATCGAAATGCACCTGAATCAAACTGTTAGAAAATGCCATGAATGTGTATTCTAGACCTATCAGGATTACGATTAGGAATAAGATTAAGATTATCTTTCTTATTCTTATCTTTAAAATGTCTTAATGTCTTATATTAAAAATTGGGATGAAAACTATTATTGAATATTCGTTATATATGGATTTACAAATTATAATTTGTAAATTATTACATACACATTTAAAAATACTAATAAAAATAATAACAATAATAATACTAACATTATTCTTATTATGAAAAATGCACTCAAATATTTTTAAGTGTCTACACGACCGGTATCGAATCTTTATAGTAGAATTTCAATTTATAGGGTTTGAGGGAGCGGCGGTCGGAGGTGAGGGAAGGGGGCGGGAGTTTTTTGTTTTGTTCATGAAATCAGAGTGTTTGGGGATTGAGTAGGAAAATTACCGTCATAATAAACAAACAAAAATCAATTCCCTTTCATTGAGAGAATAATTTTCCTAACAAATGATTTCCTATGGCTTATGCAACCAAATATAATTATATAAGAATGTACAATTGATTTGTTTTGGAAAACAACTTTATTGTCTCTACCAAACAATGGACCTTTAGAGTTAGAATTCAAAAGAACGGGACTTCTATTAGAGAAACTTAAGAAAAAATTGTAGCGTCGAATAAAATTACGTTTTATCCCGTGCATCATACGGGTTAAGTAGGAAAATGAACTTCCGTCCAAAAAAACAAAAATCATTTTTCTTTCGTAAGAGAATAATTTTCCTAAAAAATGATTTCCTATGACTTATGCAACCAAACATAAGAATGTACAATTAATTTTTTTTGGAAAAAACTTTATTCTCTCAACCAAATAATGGACCCTTAGAGTTAGAATTCAAAAGAACGAGGTCTTATATTAGAAAACCTTAAGAAAAAATTATAGAATCGAACAAAACTACGTTTTATTCCATGCATTGCACGGGTTAAAATATTAGTACTAGTTTAATTTGTACATGCATATGACTACACAATTAGGTGCTATATGTTTATATATGGGTAATTTACCTAGATAGGGCGGACTAAAACATAATGATTTTTTCAAAATAAGATCATATGTTTTTATTTCCCAATATAGGATCATTGGTCATTATCTATTAGTCATTATTCAACTAAATGTCTACCATCACTTTGACATTATTCTTCTCACTAGTCATTATTAAGTCCTCTATAGAGAATAAAAAAGTTTAAATCCTACATTGAGAAATGACTTATGTTTTAATCCTATTCAGTGCAAATTTCACTTTTTATATATGGTCTAAATTAATTGACGGCTATTGTTCTCTCCTTTATTTGGCAAGTATTTCATTTAATACTATCCTTACGAGGGGCAAAAATGGTGCTACACCAAACATCCATCTTATGGTTTGTAAGCATATATATATACACACCCACAAACAGCTAGGTTGTCCCTACCATTGTTACAAATAAATTTACATTGTTTACAATAAGTTCAATAAAAGCTAATAATAATAATAAGGACATTTAACAATGGCCAACACAAGAGGCATTATCCTTGTGGTTTGTCTATTGGGATTCGTGGCGTGCACAAATCTATTCTACATGGGAGTTGCTAAGGAGATTAGCAATGGCGCCATATCTTTTGATGCTCCTCGATGTGGCCATGATAACAAGAGATGTGAAGAAGCTCCGACCCAAAAACCTTACGACCGGGGATGCAACCCCTATGACCGTTGCCGCGGTGGCCCTGGCCCTAACTTTGAGGACAGGTTCGGTAGTCTCCGCGATCTCCCCCGTGGTCAGGATCACGGCGAAGGGAACAGTCGCCGTGAGACTGAGTAATTAAGGAGAAATAATGAAACGACTCTGATTCTGTTCCTGTGCGTTATGTCCTTCTAATATGGCAAAATTTTCATTATGAATTGTTGTTGTGTTTGTCTATATATACCATGTATGATTTGTAAACACATCATATATGTTTATTACTAGTAATTATATGTGAAATTTGCACTAAATAGGACTTAAACATAAGTCATTTGCCAATGTAGGACTTACACTTTTTTATTCTCTAAATAAGACATAATAATGACTAAGTGAGAAGAATAATGTCCAAGTGATGCTGGACATTTAGTTGAATAATGACTAATATATAAAGATCAATAATCCTACATTGGGAAATAAAAACATGTGGTCTAATTGAGAAAGTCATTATGTTTTAGTCATATTTAGAGAAAATTACCCTAATTATATTACCTCAATAAAGCTTGTTAAAATTTAATTATTCCCTTCCTCTACATCAAATTCAATTTCTTCCCATTTTGTAATTTTGATTTAATCGTCATATGATATATTTTATTTTAGTTCTAAAACAAAAAAAAAGATTCATTTTATAATACTCTCGTTTCGCAAAACACTTTCACCCTAATTTTTCGTGCATCTCAATTATAATGCAATCTTATCAACCCTCACCCTTCTCACCAATATGAGCAAGCCATTATTTTTAGGGAGAGGTAGGCTAAGACCGGGTTTGTAAGTAATTATATTGAATTCAAAGAATAAATTACTTCCTCCGTCTCATAAAATATTTCAACTTTTACATCTTACTTGTCCCATAAAATATTTCAATTTGGATTAAATGGACACAATTGTCTTTATTTTCTTAAATCTAACCAAACCTACCTCAACTACCTTCTAGAGCATACCCATTTTGAAATTTTTCGAGTCCTACTTATTTCAATTGTCGTCATTTTAGCTTGGTCAAACTTCAACAGCTTCCTCTACCAGAAGTCAAAATAGGAAATATTTTGCAAGACGGAAGAAGTACTATTTTAATTTAAATTAATTAAACAAATTGTTATTTAGACTTAAATAATACTCCCTCCGTCCCAAAAAGATTTACATCTTTCACAAAAAATTGCGTCTCACGATCTCCTACCTATTTCTATTAAAAAACCACTTTTACCCCTTACTTTTTCAAACCCTACCTATCACATCCTACTTTTACACATCAAATCAAAGTTATTTTTGGAAAGTCAACACAAAATTATCTCTCCTTTAATTTTCACTTTAGTCAAAATGTGTAAAACTTTTTGCTACGGAGGAAGTAAGTAATAAGAATAAGTTGAAAAGAACAAATTCTAAGAGTCAGTTCTCTCCAACTTATTCTTAAGACATGTTCTGTTAGGTCAGAATAATTAATTTTCCAAATTTTTCCAACTTCTTACAGTTTCTTCTAAGTTATTATCGTTTTTTCTAACAACTCAAAAAGAAAATTTTTATATCATGAATATACAATAACATGGTGTTTTCTGTGCGTATCCACTCCAAAGTCAATCAACTTGTGTGATGTAATTGAAAGGGGCGGATGGTGTGTTCGGGTCGAGGCGGTGTGGGGTTTACCTGGAAGGTTAGGGGGTAGGAACCGTCAATTACACGAACGGGGCACCGAAGCGCTCTCGGATCATTCCATGACATTGCCGGGCAATGTCACAGGAACCCACCGAAATAATAAACAATGACAAGATAATGGTATAGTGCATATAAATAAAATTTCAACCTTACACCAAGAAATGTACTTTAAAGCATAGTTTTGAAAACCGGACCGGCGACCGAACCGGCCGAGACACTGGTTCACCGGTTCACTGGTTGAACCAGTGGTTCGAGTGGTCGAACCGGCGCTTCGAACATTTTTTTTAAAACACTAAATTTACACATATTTCTTACTACAAATCAAACTATTATGTTCCTAGAATATCAAATTCTTGAATATAGTTCCCAAAAAAGTAAGTTTAAGAGTGTTACATGTCAAAAACTAACATAACAGAATATCAAAATACAAGTCATCAAACAAGACCAAGCAATGTCTAAAACAAACCCTTCAAATGCTAAGATTGTTAAAAAAACTAGAAAAAAAACTGATGCTGAGATTAAAAAAATACAGTATGAAATATGAATTGTCAAAGGGTGTTTGAATATAGAACATCAATCTGTTAAAACTAGTAAAAAAAATTGAAAACTGCCAAAGGGTGTTTGAATATAGAACATTAATCCTAATCTCAACTTAAAACTAGTAAAAAAAATGACTCCAAGCCGCCACTAATATACTAATATCGAACATTAAACCCTTCCATTGTCATTTGTCGCCACCAACTAACATAAATATAATGCAATTAAAAATTAAATATTAATACCTGTGTGGAGATGGAGCCCTATGCGTCGGACATGGAGAGGAAGATGACCGGCGATGGAGAGGGAGAGAATCGGTGGGGAAGAAGAATCGGCAATAGGGTTTTTGACTTTCTATCCGTTCAGTACTTCAGTTCCGTGCCTCAGTGGAGTTCCGTCAATATGGTTTTAAATTGGATAATTCTATGGGTACACCGGATATGTACACCGGATGTACCCCATATACTCCATACCCCCACGAAATCCCCCCCCCTCCCAAAAAAATTCCCCCCATCCCAAAAAATAAAATTTCTCTCTTTCTTTTGGTTTCCCCCCGCCGCTTCTTCCGTCCCTGCACCTTCCCTGTCCCTGCGCCTTCCCAATTTTCTCTCTCGCAACATCATCGCCGGTGATTGTCTCTCGCAACATCATCAACTTCCAGGTATTAATATGCTGAATTTTTAGCCAAAATGGAAAATTGCAGCGATTAAATAAACAAGGAAAAAGTTCCCCTAAATTGATTCTCTAATGGCAGCCACAAGCTGAGTTTCTCCAAATCTGATGCATAGGTTCCCCAAAACTGCGTAATTGGTTTGTGTATCAAATAATGAGCAAATGTGATGCAGAATTTCCTTAAACTTCCATTAATTAAAATAATTTATTGCTTCACAAACTGAGTTTAATTCTTAAAAAATGACCATTGAAATGCATGGTCCCAAGTAGAAGAATTAAAAAAACAAACAAACAGGGATCTTCTAGGTGAATATATGCTGAATTTTTGCCTTTTCTTCTTGGATTATGAACCCTAAGTTCTTAATTACCGTTATTTATGTTTATGTCCGAAAAAATGGTAAATGTATGTGAACTGCTTCTCACAGACGCAGAATATCTGTTTTCTGTTTTAATTTCTTGCGTGCTTTGTATCATGTTTTTATGTGTCTGAATTATTACTTTTTGTTCTTCTATTATGAATCCTAAGTTCTTAATTATGTTATTTCCATGTTTAGTTTTTGAAAAAATGGCAAATGTATGTGAACTGCTACTCACAGACGCAGAATATCTGTTTTCAGTGTTTCTTGCTTGCGTGCTTTGTATCATGTTTTTGTCCAATTTTTACTATCATATCTCTAATAGAAGTACTACGCTAAGGTTATTAGTTTTCTTTGCTCTCTTTATGTCATGTGTGCACTGACAATCTGACATGATTACTTTATGTTGGTGCAGTTCCGGTGTCATGGTACTTGCATTTGCAGAACACTTGATGGCTCGCTTGCCACTACTATCAAGTTGTAAACACGATCATGTCCAAGACTTCCGCAACGAATTCGTTGTTCGCTTGTGGCGTTTGAGGAAAGGGAATGTACCTAAACATTGTCCTTAAAATCAATGAATTCAAGGTGTTTTTGGTTGATAACATTAGTTACCTGTTGTGAATGGGTTATCTCTTTGTAACACACAAACATTTACTCCCTGACCTGTTCGTGTAACACATATTTTTTTGTTTATGTTTTCTCATTTCGTCATGTTCCTGCCTGTATTGCCATATCTGCCATGTTTTCTTTCACAGACATTTTCTGCACTTATCTTCAGTGTACAATGACAGAAGTGTCTGTGTTTCTAAATTTTGACACTTCTATTTACATACTTCATACATTGAAAATACTTTGGCATCTACACTTTTTATGACTTAAAACCCTGGACACAAAAATCCAAACTATAATTATACACAAAATCACAGGTTCGTTGTGTCTGTTTTTTTTGTCCTACGCGTGGAGTGTCTGTTTTATAAATTTACCCAATGTGAGACAACGGTTTGTTGTTTCCGTCAAGTCCAATGCGAGAACTGTCTGTTTTCTAAGTATACCCAATGTCAGATGGGGTCTGATTTATTCATGTCATAGGCAAGAAGTGTCTTTTTTATCCATGTCCTAGGCTAGAAGTGTCTGTTTTATAAATATACCCACAAAAATAAGGATCCTAGGCTAGAAGTGTCTGTGACATTTACATACAAAATCGTATTTACACAAAAATAAGGATCCATACCCTTCGAAGCTATGGAATGCCTAAAGACAAGTCCAGGTTTGTAATGGTAAGGTCAAATACCCCATCCTCACCTGGGACATCCCACACTTTGGTAATTACCCTTTTAGTTTCACTGATAGAAAATGTTCATTTTTACTAGTCACAGACACATATTATCTAAATGTTATTTTGATTTTAAAAATATTGTTTAAGTATATGTAATATATTTTCTAACTGCAATTACGAGTATTGGTTGTTATACGAAAACCTCAATTAAAAATTTAAAAAATTAACGAAAACCTCAATTACAACTATCAAGTCACACAGACATAAGGTTTCTATACTCCTTCAAATACAGACTCTTCATGTCAGTGTAACATGGTTTAAAAGTGCAATATCTTTCTAAGTTTTTTGCATTTGAAAAAAGAAAGAAAACAAATTGCAATTGCCAATCTTAGATCACACAGAGACTAAATATTCATTTTTTTACAAATCTACACTTAATACTATTTATTCAAAAATCACATCCTCATCTAGGACTTCCCATGCCTGCGTTGAAACTCGAACACGCTTGGAAGGCTCGCTTGACCTTTGACTTGGAACTTTTTTTTATCCACTGCCAACTCCAAAATGCTCGTAAGGGTTGTTTGACATTTGACATAGATCTTCGTTATCAGCATTGCATCACCCCTTCTTGTTTACTTTTTGTTTGCGAGTAGTTTTCTCGTCTGTTGTCTGAAATCAAATCTTACATGGGGTGTCCTTCCGCTTCAAACATGTATGGTCCAAAATGATTGGTAAAATATGTTCATCTCTAATAACATCCACATGTTAGTAAATCTGTCAAACATCAAAACATTCGTCAGAACACTCAAACTCTTCAGTTCTAATTAACACATACATTCTCTGTCTATGTTATAGTACTGGAAATAGCATATTGTCTGTGAAAATATACGCACATATAAACATCACTTATGATCCTTCCTATTGTTGATAAGGGTTGTGAAGTATGTCTTATCCAAAAAAATACTCAACAAGTAACATTAAATGACTATGTCCCAAAATTTTTGCATTTTTTGAAAGATTCACAAACAATCCAAGCTTGTTTGACAAAATCCTATACATCATAGTGTCTCTGTTAGTTAAAAAACTAAACATTAAGGCAATCAACAACTGAAACAAGGGTTTAATGTAACTTACTTGCAAAAGTAGGGGAGAATGGGGGTTCTTCATACATTATCACGCACAAACTTCTTCGATTAAGGTTTCGAGATTGACGATGAAGACGGATTTTTAAGCCATGGTCACGGAGAGCCTCCTCCGTGCAGTTTCTGGGTAGCGATAGAGAAAAGAAGGCCGGCGGCGGGTGGGAAGACACAAAGCAGCAGCGACGGCAGGTGGGAAGACATAGAGCAGCGGCGCCGGCAAGTGGGAAGACATATGGCAACGACGAGTTATGGTGCTTCTGAGGATTAGCGATGTCCGATGAACCAGATCTGCAAAAAATTGAAAAGAAAAAAGAAAACCGAAGGAGAGAAATGGAGAGATAAGAATGGGAAATTGGATGAGAATAGAAAAAACAGGAGTGGGGGTGGGGGTATGGGAGAGGTGAGGGGAGTATATGGTGTGCATATGGGATACACAAGTGGTGTACCCCTAGCGGGACTGTTTTAAATTTTAGGATTTTAATTTAAAGTTAAAAAAAACCGGAACCGGTAAAAAACCGGCCAGTTCAACCCGGTTCTCACTGGTTCATAGCTTACAACACTCTAATAGGGTGGATCGGACCGGTTTAGGCACCGGTTCGCCGGTTTCCGGTCCAAACCGGCCGGTCCGGTTTTCAAAACTATGCTTTAAAGTGTAAACCAAAAGTATGCACCAATATTTTGATAGTTCACACTGACACAAAATGCTAGTGCGATAAAAACAACCTATATTAGTATTTTATACTTGTGTGAGCAATCATATTAACACAAAATAAAGATATACACTTATAAAGTATAATTTGGAGTATAATTTTCGAGAAGATGAGCTCGAAGAATAGAAGAAGAAGATTTTGGAAGAAGGAGATAAGGAAGTTGCGGATAGAATCTTGACTCTTGAAAATACCTGGTGTTTTGGTTGGATTTGAAAACAAATTTTTTATTTATACTTCAAACCAAAAATTCATTAGAATCCATTTTTTTAACAATCTTTAAAAATCTATTAACTTTTCAATCTCACTAGATTTAGAAAGACTTTTTAAAATCTCAATTGAATACCTCCAAATTTTAATTGATTTTTTAGAATCCTAATTGAATACTCATCGACTTTTAAAATCCATAAAAATCCTATAGAGTCTGGATTGAATACACCCCCTTAGAGCACTCGGTATACTCCTCACGCCCACCGGCGTTACGGGGCGTTAAACGCCCCGGGGGCGTGAAACACCGCCCCCCGCCGGCGTTAAACGGGCGTGAGGAGCGCTGCGTCATTCGTTTGACGCGGCGTGAATCCTTCTCGGCGCCCTCCTAACGGCTTTTTTAGCCGTTGCAGCCATATTTCATATTCCTATAAATTCAACCCTCCCCAACCAATCTCTCACACCTTCTCTTCAATCTCTTCTTCTTTCTTATTTTTAAATTTCAAAATTCAAACCCCTCCTCCCAATTTTGAACATGAATCCTTCCGGCTCCGGCTTCTTTCCCGACGATCTCCCGCCCGTCGACGCCGCGATGTGGTATTACCAAGAGTTGGGCGATCGACCCCCGATGTACGAGACGCAACAACCGGGGTACGTTGACCGAGATTCGGTTCCGGAGACTCAACCGGAACCGTCCGGATCGAAAAAAAGTACACGCCGGAGGAGTCACAAAGCCAAAACCACGTTGACCGAGGCGGCACGGTCAATCCAAAAGTGGACGCCGGAGGAGGAGTGCATATTAGCGTCAGCTTGGGTTGACGTCTCCGAGCATCCTATCATTGGTAAAAAATTTATTTTTTCTAATATATTTATGTTTTTATTTATATATATTATATTTAATGGTGTCTAAAAAAATTGTGTAATACATTTTTAAAGGTAAGGAGCAAACGATCAATGCGATGTGGGATCGTATCGAGGAGAAGTTCTTCACGGCGATGAAGAAGGACGGCTCCTACCGAACCCAGGACCAACTCACTTCCAAATGGGGCCACATCAACAAAAAAGTCCGAAAGTTTATGGGAGTATACGAGGAATGCTCCCGGAGGAGCGGCACGAACGACGCTGATGTTCTCCGGCTTGCCACGACCCGGTATCAAGACGACGGGAACCAAGGCAAGGTGCCCATCGATCTTTGGAGGATTTTGAGTCGTTCCCCGAAGTGGCAACAACTCAACAATCCCGACGGTGGATCGTTCCGGAAAAGATCCACCGTCGACGCCGAGGTTGAGGTCGACGAGACCATTGGTTCTACCGATCAAATCCCTTCCTTCAACGTTGCGGCTTCCGATGACGAGGACCCCATTCCACGGCCGATCGGAAGAAAGAAGGCAAAATCCATTGCCTCTAGTTCGGGAGGGTCCGCCTCTGTTTCCGCTTCTCCCCGTGACGAAATCGGTCTGGCTATGGTTGAACAACTTCGGGCGTTCAATCTCCAAGAACAGGAGAGGTTGAAGCTTAAAGAGAAGGAGTTGAAGCTAAAAGAGCAGGAGGCCGAGATGAAAGTCATGCAAACCGACCCCGGGACGTTGTCGGAGTTTGGACGAGTTATCTACGAGCAAAGAATGAAAGAGATCAAGAAGAAATATAATTTACCTTAGTTTTTTTATTAATGTATCTTTTTTTAAATTATTGTCGCTTTTTTATTTAATTAATGTGTTTTTTTATTATTCGTGTTTCAATTTAATTAAATAATAAATTAAGTACATTTTATTAATTTAATTTTAGAAGATGTATATTTAAAAATGTAAAAAATGAAGGTTTGAAGCCCAGTTTTGAAGCCCCGGGGCTTCAAACCCATTTCCAGTGAATTTTGGGTATAAGTTAAAGCTGACGTGGCAGAGAGAAAGTTTGAAGCCCCGGTTTGAAGCCCCGGTTTGAAGCCCCGGGGCTTCAAACGTATTACCAGTGCTCTTAGTTCTTTTGGAGTAAAAGAAATCCAAAAAAGTTTTTACTTATATCACAATTTGGAGTAAAAGAAATCCAAAAATTTTTTTAAGAAAAACACAACCAAGATAATAATACTAGGCCCAGCACATGTTCAGTCTTCCCAATCCTCAATATGCAAAGCTCTGAGATACCCGATTCGAGAGAACCCGGTAACGGGTCCGGTTCGACCATTTTCCGGATCGGCCAACGAGTGCATTACGCCGGAGACCCCCGCCGGATCGGTACCGTGAAATACATCGGTCCTGTGGAAGGTTACACGGGAACGTGGATCGGAGTTGACTGGGACAATGGTGGCGGCAAGCACGACGGCTGCCACAACGGAGTCCGATACTTCGATGCTTCCGGCGACGCTACGGCGTCGTTTGTGCGGCCGCAAAACCTCAGTGCCGGAGTTTCAATCTTGCAAGCCCTCGAGCTCCGGTACCGCACGGCTTCTAGCGAAGAAGAAGACCGTAAGTAGAACTATTACCTTATCGATTCCCAATCGGAGAATTAACCAGAACGAAGGAAATACACTGATCATTACTGTTTTATATGGTAGAAATGTACAGATAAAATGATGTGTTTTTGTTTTGTTTTCCTTTGGGGCAGATGAGATGTATGTTTTCTCTGCAAGCAACAGGCGAGTAACAGTTGAGCTGCTGGGTAGAGAAAAAATTCAGAATAAACTAAGTCATTTTGAGGAATTGAAAAGCGCATCATTGTCTTGTTTAGGAGTCAGCTCTGCTGGAGATCCATGCCACATTGCTACAACTATACCAAGTAAATGAAGTGCTTCTTCAATATGTTTAATTTTCTCCACACTGCTCAGTTTTGGCATGCATATCATTTCAAATTCAGTTTTGCAATTCAACAACAGTGCAGCTTTTGTTACATTATGCCTTTTTTTACAGATCTGAAGGAGCTTGATTTGAGTAGAAACATGTTTTACGAGTGGAAGGTACCCTACTTGTTTATCAAGTGACATTCATTAATTTCCCGGTGTTCTGACATAAATTTCATTCAATTTTCTCATTGCTATTATCATTGCTCTATTAAAATGCTGAGGGTATTATTTAAATTTATAGGCTCTGTAAGCATAATGCATTGTACAAACGTGAACCACCCAGTCACCCACAATATAGGTTTAGAACAAGGAGTCTCCTTTAAATCCTCTTATGCAGTAATCTTTGGTGCATGACCTCCTAAGTTCATGGTCAACTCATCAGAAAGTGACTGCTACAGAGAGTAGTTATTTGAATATCGAAGAACTCTCTGAGAAATGAATTAAGACTTGTGAATACTTTCCCCTATTAATGAAAGTTTAACATCTTGGAGACCCCATTCGTGCTAATTGCTTGCAGTGGTATCTCAGATGATACTGGTCAATTACTTTTTGCTGTCAATTGCTGGAGTTGTTTGTTGTTTCAGTTGCCATTAGGATTTCGGTAAAACCCAATGGGTCATGCCCCTTATAGTCAAAGAAGTATCAAGGGGTCAGACTCCTAAAAGAAATAGGATGAAGCACATAGAAAGGTTTTTGACTATTTTCTGTTTTTTTTGGTTTTTTTAAGAGCAATATGTGCAATGTTTTAATATGTATGATCAACCTTCTTAAGTCAATTTCAAGGGAGTTTTAAAATTTTTCTGTCTTTTGGTCTTGGCATGTTATGCAGTCTTGCTTGTCTGTCTTTTTTTTTTTTTTAAAGAAATAGGCTATAGGGACTTGTTTGTGAGGTTGTAATTAAACCAATGACAGAACCCTTGGATGTTTGTTTTAATAACTAGGATGTTGGTGCAATCTGTAAAGCGTTGCCAGCTCTAGTGGCTCTGGATCTATCCCATAACATTATGGCACATGATATAAATGGAATGCCGCTGCTAAATAATATTCGAGTTTTAGTTTTAAACTATACTGGAATCAGCTGGAGGCATGTAAGTGTTCTTTTTTCTCTATATTATCTGTTAATATTTGCGAACACGTGTTAATTATAACACATGATAATTGACAGGTTGAAATTCTTAAAGATTCCCTTCCAGTCATAGAAGAGCTACATCTAGTTGGGAATAAGTTGAAAGAGATAGTGGTACTCATCGCTGTTCTATATCTTTGCTATTAGTTTTTGTATAATTTTGGGTCAGGTTGTACATCCGTCTAACTATTTTTACTGCATGGTCTCAATTGAAATGATCTTTCTTGTTATTATTTCTTTTCACTTACCGGTGTTCTCTAATATACAGTATTCACTAATTACGGTGAAATACGAGGCTAGAATGGAAGCATGCATACAATCAATCCTTCATGGAATGCATATAAAAATCGTTGTTTTGGTAGGAAAAAGTGCTTGTTAAAGTACCTCTGACCAAACCTTTTTTTTGCTATCTAGCCATCATCTTCAAGTTTTGTCAAAGGGTTTGAATCTCTGCATCTCCTTAATTTGGATGATAACTGTATAGAATCTTGGGATGAAATTTTGAAGCTTTCACAGCTGAGAAGGTATCATAGATAGATCTTGCCCTGTTCATGTAAAACACTCAATTTTTACTGCTTCTGGTTTGCATTACTTTTACTATGGTCTGTTCTCGTTCTCATTATCATTTTTTAAAATTAGCTTGCAGCAGCTTTTTTTGAATCACAATAGTTTATGCCGCATCTGTTACCCTGATTGCGACCCTTTATATGAAACCCCAAATGGGGATGAATGTCTTCGGAACAGCTCTAGGCCTTTCAAAAAACTGCATTCCCTTCTTCTTGGTAATACCGGTTTTTTACTATAGCTGTCTATGACTTCTTTTTTCCCTTCTGTCCTGAAAAAGCTTTAGCTTGTTGATTTTTCTTAACACTTGTAGGCAGCAACAACATTAAAGATCTGGAATCTGTTGATTCACTGAATTATTTCCCAAATTTGTCGGTAAGCTCTAATTTTGATATGTCTGGTGTTTCATACTCTCATTTGATCTGTTGTCAACTTAGGGACAATTTCTCTCAAAATCTCCTTATCAAAAACAATATTCTTAGAATCCCAGCAAATAGTTAAGACCTTCATGGCGTGCCAATTTGGTTAATATATGAAACTCACACTGGAGGTCCATAAAATAGCCAGTAGGGCTGCAATATGTGACTGAAATCATGGGTATGAATTCCTTTTTGTCAAGGAAGTAAGACTTACAGAGAATCCAATAGCAGATCCAGGAAAAGGTGGTATAGCCCGGTATGTTTTGGTGGCACGTCTAGCAGGAGTGAAAATATTGAATGGAAGTGAGGTAACTTTTAGTTACTGTAGTCTTTATTGTTGTCAGTTTGAAATCATAAAAAATTATGATGCATCTTTCAAGCGTTTGCCTTCTTTCAGGTTAGTCCTCGGGAGCGCAAGGAATCTGAAATTCGGTAGGCTTTATTTGTTTCCTGTAACAATGTATCCTTCTACTGTTTGCTTGTAGGTCTTCATATTATGCACTAGAAAACATTTACAGAGTATTATATTGTTGAAATGGTTTCACTTTGAAACATGTGTGCAGGTATGTCCGGCTGGTCATGTCTACATGCCATGATTTTCCACAAGAAATTGACCGACTACACCCGAGGTAACTTTTTTCTTATGTTACTACCTCATTAAGTATTTGTAGTTCTTCTGTGTTATCAGTAGATCAATGTCATAATAAAATAATGACTTCGGGCTAGTGCTTGGTAGAATCATTCCTCTCCCTTAACACCACAACCAGACCATAGAGGTTTTTTTTATGGGGAGAGGAATTGTGGTGTAGAAAAGGTGTGTTTTGAGATTTGACTGTTTTGCCTGTTTGAACGGTCTTGCTAGGCTAAGGCAGTTTTTTTTTCTCTCAAAGTAAGCGCGGGAATTTTTTATTTGTCTAGAAAACCAAGAGGGTAACCTTTGCTCGTTCTTTTACCCATTTTAAATAATTAAATCTAAATTGTGAACAAATATAAACAAACATTTTAGTTTCCTTCTTTGGCCGTCCCAAAATAAAGTTTCTCGTTCTTTTAAGGGAAGCATTAGATGATTCACATTTCTCTCCTCTTGCATTAATCTCAAACACACAATTTCATAATTTCTTACATAAAATACTCTGTGAAAAATCAAACAGGACTTTAGTTTGGCATGGGAATATATATTTATGAGTGATTAGAAATTGATTAAAAATGTCTTCTTTAGAGGGGTACAAATTTTTAATTTGTACTCCCTCCGTCCCAAATTATTTGCCACATTTGTTTTTTCAACAGTCGCGGGAACTTTTGTTTATTTCTACGTTTTCATTAGTTATTTGATAAAATAAAATATTCTTGACACCTCTTATTTCGAAGAACTTTTCATGTAGTTTTTTGATATGTAATTTTTATTTTTTATTTCTTTACCAATATGTAAATAAAGTGAATTGAAAAAACTTGATATTTTGTCTCGGTAATAGAAATGTGACAAATAATTTGGGACGGAGGGAGTATTAAGGTACACCTTTTAACTTTTAAGTAAGGTACAATTATTAGAAATTGTAGAATATAATTTTAGTTTTAATTATTTCATGGTTTAACTATATTTAACACACTCAACTTGGTGCGAAACCGTTTTAATGGCTTTATCAAAAAATATTCCCTATTGAACGCCTTATTTATATAGGCATTTCATTCTCCATTACTGAAATGTATAGGGAGGATTTTAGTGGATGACTTTGTTGAGATTTTCTATCGATTGAGATACATTAAGGTATGGTTATTGTTGAACGTGGACAATTGTTATATTTTTATCCTGGTTTTATATGGTAAAGACAGATAATTGCTTGATAAATATACGGAATAAATTTTTTCTTTTTGGGAGGGGGGCTTAAGAAATGGAGCTGCACATGACAATTTACTTGGGCGCATTTTTTATTCTTGGTTTTTGGCCCTTGTACTATACTTTGATAAGCTACGGAGTATCTATCTTGTCATTGTTGCCAATGTCTTCCTAAATAACAATGTTTTAACGTGTTTAAATGGTCTGAAATGCATGAGATCACAGATTTGCGGAGCTAAAAAGACGCCACGGAATAGAGGATGAACAACTGCACAGTGGACCGACCGGACCCCCTAAAATGGCAGCAAGTCTTATTTGTAATCGATCTATTAACGTTTTCCAGTAGTTTTTTATGGGTAAAAATGCTTGGTCTCCCCTCTGAATGTGGTTCAAAATCTGCCTTCTCTGCAGCAATTACCATGAAGTGTGTTGGAGCATCAATTGGTGAAAAGCCCCCACTAACCAAGAAGTTACCCATAACAACCACGGTAATACTCCGAACATCTTTCTCTCTCTTTCTTTGTGTCATGTGGTAAACTCTTTTTGACCACCACCGAGTTCGACATTGTTGCGATTAATTTGGTTTTGGCTTGTCTAGTCCTTTTTTTGCATGGTATCCGACATTCATGGCTTTATTCAGGTAGGGAAGCTGAAGAACTTGTGTGAGAGTTTCTTCAACCTAAGATCTCTCAAGCTCAAACTATTTCTTCAGGAATCGGTATGTATGNTTGTTCAATGCGTTAAATGACATATGGTCATTTTTATGTAACGTGCTATAGGGGGGGAACAAAATTTTTCCAATTAAAAAACTTTTTGAAACCCCTCCCTTCCCCATCCCACCACCATGAAAGTTACCAATGTTTATGCAGGGTATGCCATTGCCAACGCCGCTCGAGGACGATATGGCAACTTTGCTGGATGCTGGAGTTGCGAATGGATCGGTGGTTCTTGTTGACGAAGAGTGATGCTGGTTTTTCATCTCAGAACCAGAAATAAAAATCACCACTTTTCTTTCTCAGATATCAAGAGAAGTATAGGCACCCTTTTTTCAGTAGATTTTACTCCATTTGTTTTCTAGGTTTTTATTTAAAGGTTTTAAGGTTATAGTTTGGTTAATTATCAGGTTTGATGGTACTGTAATTTTATTTTATCTTACATTGTATCAATGATTAACTGTCTTTTGTTCCATTATTTTTGTTGATTTTTACGCCGCCTTTTTTTGCATCTACTTTTTTGTGTCATATACTACTCTATTAGTCATATTTGTATGGTTCACATTTATTATTCTTTTATCTTGTTTAGTTGTTTTTCATACTCGTATTGATTAGTACGGGGCGGTTCCCCTAACCCCTCGTTAAGTCTCCCCACCTTACTCCAGTAAGAGTCAAAATTAAATTGAGATGTGCAATTGAAAAGAGTGGGAGAAATGTATTTGGGTAGGAGCGTGGTGGGGGGTTAAGAGGGGTAAGAGTATCTCCAACCATCTTTGCTATATTAAATTGCTATTGTTAAATTTTAGCTAGGAAATAGTGATATAGCAAGTAGTTTTTTACTCCATTCTCCAACCATGCTTGCTAAAATTTAACCAACAATTAGATTTTAAAATATAAGGAATTCCCTTGTAGTAATTAAAAATGAGTTAAAGTGAATTAATTCACTAACAGTCATATTACAACGGCCATTTCATCTCCACTGTATTTAGTGGTCATTTGCTCAATTTAACTTATTTGAGTAATATTCTAGTATCCAAAAAATACAAAAAAAATTATCAAATGACTCAGCATTTTACTGTACGAGAGAAATAATCCAATTGTATCTTTCCTCTAAATGGTGGAAGATGCAAAATAATGAAGGATCTAGACAGCAATTACCTCAATTCCAGGCCGGCTCATTTGGATTAAAAGTTGGAGGAAGAAGAAAAGGATTCAAGCGGAGGAAGAAGATTGACCTTTTTATGTGCCTCTCTATTCCCGTTACTTTTTTGGACTTTGATTTAATTTTTTATTAATTTTTTTGGCTTGCTTTTATTTGGATGGCTTGCTAGGTTTAGCAAGTCAAATTTATTTTTTGACAAGTATGCTAAAATATACCACATCCCTTGAAGATGGAAAAAAAGGATTCACTTGCTATTATATAACTTTTAGCAAGCCATATTGATAAGGTTGGAGATGCTCTAAGAACCGTTGATTCTTATGTCACGGGAATCCCACCGTAATTATTAATACTCTCTCTTTCTTTCCTAAAAAAACCTTCTCAGAATTTTTTATAGCACAAATTCTTCAGTTTAAGACTAAAGGAATTTTTTTTGGATCGATGAAAAAGGAAAGAAGATTTTTATGGGACCCTGGAAGTATCAAACATACGAAGTGCAAATATAGAGTTTTATTTGAGTAAATTCCATAACTGGTTCTTTATAACATAGTGGTTTCCTTATTTAGTATCAAACATACGAAGTACAAATATAGAGTGAATTTAAAGTTATTTTTCTTTCAAAAAAACTTTTTTGGTATTGATTATGGTATTTCCTCTTGAAATTTAATTCTCATTTTTAAAATTTTAAAATATTCTAAAATAAAGTTCACATTTTTTAAAATACTCTCTCCGGCCTAATTTAAATCGCATGTTTTGGTTTACCATGTTTGACTAAAATTATTTTCAAATATAAAAATAATAAAGAATGCTTTATTGATTGAATGATTTAGAGGAATACAAAGTAATGAATATATAAGTGGAGTTGGAGTATTCTAGAATTCTCCCTATTTATGGCTAGATAAATAAGGAAATATTGTATTATAATAACTTTAGCTATAATAGGTAACAACCATAAATATAATATATAATATTAAATATATTAAAATAATGAATATATTTAACATGCTACCAACGTCTTGAGAGGTGAAGATTGAACGCCAACTTTTACTTGAATCGTGACCAGAATTGTAATCAGAAAGCTGGAGGCATATCTTCGACTAGAGTAGACTGAATGCATCCCGACAGAAGAGAAGAAGAAAGATTGCTAGGAAAGAGATGTGACAGCGCTGATGAAGAGAGGAGAAGAGCTGCTATAAACAAACTCATGCTGCTGACGTCGAATGAGGGAGAAGGTTGATGTGCGCTGTAGTCGTTCACGACTAATTTATAGAAACTAAAAGAGTGAAGTGTTGCTAGGGATGCTTGTCAACTGAAGATTTGCCGGCTGAGCAAGCTGATGTGACAATCTCATCTTAAATCAAGAAGCGGCGATGATGGATCTAGAGATGGACAATTGTGGTTGGCTGGGAATATTTTTTTTTTGCTACATGGAATATTGTGAAGGATTAGGATCAAAGGAGGAACAAGCTAAGTGAAGTTGTGGCCGCCGTCGCCAGAAAAACCACCGGCGACGGCGACGGCGGAAGCAGAAACTGTTAGGTCTCCAAGAACGAAGGCTTTGATACCATGTAAAAATAATAAAGAATGCTTTATTGATTGAATGATTTAGAGGAATACAAAGTAATGAATATATAGGTGGAGTTGGAGTATTCTAGAATCCTCCCTATTTATGGCTAGATAAATAAGGAAATATTGTATTATAATAACTTTAGCTATAATAGGTAACAACCATAAATATAATATATAATATTAAATATATTAAAATAATTAATATATTTAACATCAAATCATTTTATATGAAAAAATAATGTATAGTTAGAAAATAAAAATTTCATATTTAAACACTACATTAAAACATCTAAAAAACTAATGGTGACATGACTATATTATTTTATCAAATGACTAATGAAAATAAGGAAAAAAAATAAATGAAGTTTGACCCTATAAATAGTATGCAAACAATTTAATTTAAACGGAGGGAGTAAAAATCCAAATCTTATAAAATTAATATGCGGATATATATTCCATTCCTCTTAGTGCATTTGTCTAGTTTGACTTTTTTGAGTTAAACATGATGAAATTTGAGTTTTAATTAAACAAAATTTATAATGTACTCAATAGAGTATATTAGTAGAATTGATTTTATTTAATTTATCTTGTTCCAAAATAGACAAACAGTACTACTCAAAACAATTTCTCGTGTGTGCATGCTCGCATGGACTAGGATTCACGTGCCAAATCCTTGCCTAATGCCATTATAGCTTGACACGTCAGCCTTGCCATCTATATATCACGTGATCCCCCTCCCCTGCCCGTGTTTGCTTGATTTGATCTGGGCCCCCTTCGTTTTGTGTGCTCAAGTGATTTGGGCTTCACAAGCAAGTAGGCCGATCTCCTTTTTGTACTATTGGATACTATTTCGGTCCCAATTACGGAGTATAAGACTTCTGTTAACAAAAAAAATAAAATATTTTAACATTAATATAATTTAAAATTATAAATTTAATTAATAAAATTTAAAATTTTGTAAAATTAAAAAAATAAAAATTATATATTAAAAAAATTAAATTGAAAATTCAACAAAATAAGTGGTGACAATGTTATTTTATTTATAAATTGACTTATTAAAATATATAGAAAGTATAGTTAATTTGATGTGCCAAAAGTAATTAGGAGTTTTTGAGACGGGGGAGTGCGTTCTTTTGGGCTAGACGCGATACGACAAGATATTATTTCACTTGAGTAATTATCTTTCGGCTTATCAAATTTTATTCATTTTATTAATCTATTTTTATTAATTATTTATTTAAAAAAATAATACCCTCATATTAATATACTGCTCAATTAACTATAGAAGTTTATTTAAGGAAAATGATCCCGAATTTGAAGCCTGATGGTTGTGATGAGAGAGAACCATACACAGCATGAGACTTCTGCAAGTACCAGACACGGAATCTCACCCTTACGTCAATTGACCGAATTTATAGTTCAATTTATCTTTTTCTCAATTAACTATCCGGTCGATTTTGAGGGGTACTCGGGGATGGGGTCTTATCCTTTTTTATATTTGAGGAAAATGATGAATATAAATCAGCTACTCCACCTGATAATCGATCAGGTGTTATATAGTGGCTGCATGCATGGACTAATAAAGATTCACGTGCCAATACCTTTTATAATGCCACTCCACCCTGACACGTGTTGTACATACTTCGTTTCACGTGATTCTCCATCCTGTCCGCTTGGTGCCTAACCTAAGGTGTAAGGTGCATGTCATTTTATAGAGTTTAATTAATTTAATTTGTAGTAGAAAAGAAGTGAGTATATTTTACAAAAAAAGAAAATATTCACATATAAATTTATGAAAAATGTGATATAAATTTATGAAAAATGTGAGAGGGTCTAAGTTTTAAATATATATAGACTGTGAAACCATGTAAACATCAATTCATAAAAAAACTAAAAAAAAGATTAGCCTATGTACAGGGTCCTCCAAAACTAGTCAGGCAGTCACATGATAGGAGATAAATAAAAGTAATAAGGGTTAACATGCACTCGATATATGCAATAATCTCGAACTCTAAAACAAACAGAGTCAAATACTCCTTCCGTTCCACAAAATCCTTCCCCTTCCATTTTTTTGTTTTCCACAAAACACTTCTACTTTCTATTAAAAACCACTTTTACCCCTAATTTTTCATATCCTACCTATCACATAATACTTTTTCATTAATAATCAAACTATCACATCTTACTTTTTTCCATTACATCAGGGATAAAATTGGAAAGTCAACCAAAATTACACTTTCCTTATTTTTACCCGAAGTCAAAATGGGAATGGTTTTGTGGAACGGAGGGAATATAACTTTTCAGTTTTTCGATCACGCACACGATTTTTTTCACATAGAGTCATAGGGGTGTAAACGGATAATATTCGTGACGGATATGGCATATCCGAATCCGTATCCGTTTAAGTTTAGGACTATCCGAATCCGTATCCGTATCCGGCGGATATTTACTATACTATATCCGAATCTGTATCCGACGGATAATTATCAGTTTTGGATATATCCGAATCCGATTAGATATCCGAAAGTAACCGAATATCCAAATCCGATTAGATATCCGAAAGTAACCGAATCCAAAAATATCCGAGTCCATTTAAAAATCCAATTAGATATCCAAATCTATTTATAAATAAATTAAACACAGTCCAAAACTGTAATTGAAGAGGGCCTGAAGGCGGAGGGGAATCGCCGAATTGGGAAAAAGAATTACGGAAGAGGGGTTGACTTAAGGTTAACATGTTTTCAAGTAGG